CGCCATCTCGTATAGTTCCTAATTAATAAAAACTAAAATCGGCAGTCGAAGCAAAAAAAGGAGAAAAACCGAAAGTTAACATTCAACGCGACAATGCGAGATCGCCCGTGATTAGAGGAATCCCCCAAAAATTAATGTCGCTTGACTGAAATATTTTTTTGCATTCGTCGTATTCTCTGGACCTTGCCCTTCCAGATAAATGATCTATTGGGGCTCTTAAACGTCATCTTGATAGAAAAAACTTCAATTGAGAAGATGACACCAAAAAGGAGTTGACCCACTTTTTCAATCGCCGCTCTCCTCGTTCTGGTCCCATGGAATTAAGAAATTACCGGAGTGTTGGCAGACAACTATCACTGCTTATGGACGTAACTTTCATTTATCTAGCCCTCTCCCCTTTGAGAAAAATTTGACCAAAAAAGTTGCCAAAAAAGGAAGAAACTTTCTGTTCAACCTAATATTTAAAAAAAAGAGGTACACAAAAACTTTCAACTACAAAAATTGAGACTTAAACTCTCCAAAATGTTTCAGCATAAAAACTTTCTGGAACCCAAAGTGGAACACGAAAACGTGCAAATGAGCGTAGTTCTAGTCTAAGACTCCCATGCAAGTTCGTTTTTGATTCCGTACCACATCAGAGACCAGTTTTCAGATCAACTAATTTATTGGCTTACAACCCGCCACAGGAGACTAGGTTCATATTACTTTGTTAATCATAACAGACACTATTGCTTCTAAAAACCAATTTCCGGCTCCACCAAAATTCTATTATGCGCATGTTATAACACATATCCTAATTATCTAACAAAACCTCTATCAGAATCATATTTTGTTCTCACTCGAATAGGCATGAAGAAGTTTCCGGCTCACTGAAATTTTTTCAAAACGTTATCAGTCTGAAAAAATTTCTTCGCAAAAAATATTTTTAGCCTCTATCTGTGCATTAGAGCAGAAGGGAAATTGTCTCACGATTCAGTAATGATCTCGGTATGGTGCACTTCGAAAATTTCATTTTGTCAGCATTTCCTTTCTAGGTCAGGTAGTTCAGGCTTTCTAGTCTCAGCAAATTTAAATATTATGAGTGTTTCCAGAAAATATGATTTCTGCGGCAATTAGATTGTTTCTTGGAAGTTGAAATTCTGTTCGATTTTTCATATTTCAGTAGTTCAGACGTTTAATATTCTGTTATCAAAAGTTGCAACACAACAATTAGAACAAAGTTCTTTGAGATCTCGAGTGATAATTGCTCTAGAGAGTTCAAAATTCAAATCAAAATTTTTTTGGAGTTTAAATTGTTTGTTCAATTTTTATTGTTGAATGAAATCAAATACCTTCTGTCCTCTAGCCCAGCCAAACCGTCTATTTTGAGCTCAATTATCTCGGTCTCTATAAAAGTTATCAAAATTTTGTCAACGGATGAATTATTTATCGTAATACGACCAACATTTTATCAGTTGTCAAAATTTTGATATCTTTCACAGGAATCGAGGTAATTGAGCTCAAAGTTCCGTACTTCCTCTGATAGAAGTTGACCCAAGCCGTCCACTTTGAGCTCAATTATCTCGATGCTCAACAAAGATAGCAAAAATGTTTTAACATAATAAATTATTTATCTCATTATCATCAATATTTTGCCAGTTGACGAAAGTTTGATACATTTCACAGGAATCGAGATAATTGAGCCTAACGTTAACGGGTTGGGTGGACTTCCATTAGAGCAAATACTATTTGGCGTTTTCAGAAGAAACTGCTCAGCCAGTGAAGAATTTAACCAAAAATATACTATTAGGCTCTAAAAAATTCCAAAAATCCTTGTCTAAAATTTGCCGATCTGGGCCGAGCCGCGTCTGTTCTTTTCAAGACTCCGAGTGACGTCATTTATCTTATTTCCGCATTTTTTCCAACCTAATCCCTTCCCAAGTAGCGTCCTTTTTGTCATCGACCACCGAGAAAGAAAACTGATTGCGAGACCAGAAAACAATCTCAGGAGTCCTCGGAAATCTTGAAATTAGAAAATCGAGTACTTCCCGTTTTAGAATTTCCCAGAAATTGAGTCGTGGGAAAATCAAGAAAGTTTTTTTTTATTTTCTTCAAAACTTCAGACAGAAATTTTTTAATTTTCCTCAATTCTCATCCGAATTCCCTCTGTTTTCGTTTTTCTCGATAAGCACTTTCGGGTAAACCTAGCCTCTCTAATTTTCGCTGTAAACATGGAGCCATGTTCATTCAAGGATGTCCATTGACGTTGGCTCTTTTGGCCGAGTCAAGTTTCATTTATAAATAAACCTTCTAGTCCTGTTTTAATGGTGCAAGTTTCGCAAAAAAAGATGATTCAGAATATTCATCTGACTCATATTCTCGTTATTAGGTGCGTCTACAAAACCATTGCAACATGCATAATGAACTTCAAGCCATTTTCCGGTCCACCCTTTTCCGGTCAGTTGACGCTCAAACTTCCTTTTTTCCCTTTCCCGAAATTTTTTTTATTTGAATATTCCACAATTCAAATCCAAACCAGTCAGCCATCAGGTGTTTTTTCTTTTGCCAGTCTATGCAGATGATAAAAAATAATAATGACATTCAGAACGTTGTCATGCTATTGCAATCAAGCAATCAACGGCTAGTTAAATCGTGGGGATAATATATTTTGATTTGAGCAAAAAGGAAATAGAGAACGCTGAAAAAACCAGGCAATAACATGAGTCAGTTTTTTTCTTTCGCCACCAACCCAAACTATTGTTTCCCTTCTTTCTTTATTTTCTGCTTGTGGTCCAGATGCACTTTTTTTGGTCTCTCCTTATTTCTGGAGTGTCCTCGTCACAATTCCCACCAAAATTTTTCAAGAGTTTTCAGAAAGAAGATTTGAAATAACTTGTGAAGTTTCGCACGTACCTTCTTAGAATTAATTATGGGTTCTGTCTTCTGTGGGATTGGGCTGTCTGGATAGGAGAAGATTAGGTGGTATATATTAGGTAGGTGCGGACAGATCATCTAACAAATACATTTTTTTTTCTTCATAATCTAGTTCAACTAGTCTTTTGATCTTGAAGCAGTTTTGTGTCAGATGAAAATAGAGTTACCGTAAAACCTGTATAGTCTGAAAAATCGAAATTTCCTCCTTCCTGTTTTTTTTATTTCCATCCTAAACACATCATTTTCAATATTAGAAGTTTTAAAAGTTTCACCTGTCAGACCCCCACCCAAAACCTCACGTTTCCTTCTTTGAAATTCAGAAGGAACTTAAAAAAAAATTGGAATACCATCTGCTTCTTTTTGAGGCCTCTTTTTGAGCTTTCCACATCATTTCTAGCGTCAAGTTCATGTGTAGTCCAGGAAAACCTAATTTATGATTGTGGCCTGTTCTGATCTGATCTTAAACCCGTAGTAACTCAGCCACGTGGTTTTTTAATTCAAAAGACCAATTTTGTGGTATGAGCAATACCCCACAGAGACTCCAAAACTCAATTTGTCATCTCCGTTCACATACCCACTCATCTAACTCTCAAAATTGTAGCCTTCTAACTGATTACTACGTCTAGAATTCTGAATTCTCAGTGGGAGGAGGACGGAAGTGTGTGTGGGGCGGTGAAAAACATACAATCAGGAACGTTGAGAGTACCCAAGTACCCCAGGGGAACCGAAAAAAACGTCTGTATACTTCTTTTTTTTCTGACTTATTTTATTTATCTCTTGGAATGTTTTCTTCCGAACAGCGTTTTGATTGCTAACATTCAAAAATCGAGAAAAGTCAAAATATTTGAGAAAACCCACAAAATTTTCCTACTACGTTGATTAGTGTCCATCATGCGTCATTGAAAAACTCAGATGATATATAAAATCAGCGATTTTTCATATCTAGGATGAGAACTCACTAAAGAACACCTGCCTAAAGGGGTGTGACGAATACGTGCTCCCGTTTTTTCATATTTAAGTTTTCACTCGCCTGATTCAGAGTTCCTGGTTCAGCTTTTTTCATATGAAGCTTCATTAAGAAACATTAAGCCTATTTTTCTTTTCTTAGAACTCGTAATGTTTTGTTTTTATTTCAAGAACACTGAATTCAACACATCTCTTTCATTGTTATAGAAAGCTTTAGGTTCCAATTGGAATATTTTCCAAATTTTGAACTTGTGAATTCTCTAAAGTTGTTTGACCACCTCACTCAAAAATAAAAAACGACTTCGTCATCCGCCCTGCGGCCAAAAACCTCTCTCTCCCCCGCCCCGAGTTCATTTCTCACACACATACCAAATTTGATTACCGTCCTCGTCCCGTCACTCACCGGACATGCGTCAATTCGTTGGGTTGCCCGCAGAACTGTGTCTCATCTTGTTCTTCTGAATCTACTTCTCCCCCTCTAGCTATTCATTCATCGGTTGCTGCTGCATTTTCACCCCCGAAATGACCTCGGATCTTCTGGACAATGGGGAAACTAGAGTTGCACTTTGAACGCCTTCTCCTTTAGAAAGACCTTACCCTATTCAGATGAATCAGATGAATAGCGGGGCGGAGACCACAAATATATAATGTTTTGTATTTAGCTATGGCTAAGGATTAAATTATATAAAGATATATTCTTTCCCGATCCAACTAACTGGTCACTCCGCCTTTATTTCTCGTTGCACTAGAGCTCCTCGTTCTGGAAAATATCCTCCTTTGTCTTTTCCAAGTAATCCTCCTCAATTTAATCAGGACTCATTTTTTTCTTCTTGTGTGATGTGTTTTTTTTCCTTGTCCATTTTTTTGCCACCCTTCCTTAAAACGTCCACAGCGTATGATGTCACTGGGTGGTGCCTCCCTAATCATAAGGTTTCCAGCCAGCCTGTCAGTATATTATCAAACGTACATGTTTTTCAAAGGCTTCATTCTACTCCTTTTCTAGATTGTTCCCTTTCCTGTTTTTCGCTATATACGATTTGTCTATTACCTAGATAAATCGTAAAAACCGGCATATTCTTCTACTTCATTCAATAACCACTTTTCTCATCTATAATTTTCAGATGCTTCTAGAACATGCTTTGCTCTACATTGCCGTACCAATCATCAGTTTCAGTCTTTTGGTATACATTTTCTACATTTTGAAGCGAAGACATCGAAGTTCAATGAATGTCGGATATCCTTACCCACCACAACAGCAAGGTAAATAATTATTTCAACAGAACCTGTATATTTATTTCTTAATTTTTCAGGACCAATTCCAACAGCACCAGTTGATGAAGAGGCTCCTCCATACACACAAGCAGTGACGTGTCGGACAGACAACATTTTTGCAATCACCGGTAAGCTATTCCCCTTTGAGATGGGACTTTACGATTAATTGTCTAGTCAATCAACTTTCTGATTGAAAATTGTTTTTCAAAAACATGAAAAGTATTAACTATCATAAATTTCAGAACCCGACCTCTCCCGGTATTATAACATGCACTATCTGGATGAATGCTACCCACCAAACTTCATTGTTCCACCAACGGAACCACCACCACCGTATCCAGGATTGGAGAAAGGTCCACCACCACTTGACCCTATCACCTACCATCGCGATGACGTGATTTGCTAGACGATTCAGAACCCCTTTCTGCTCAATCTACAGTAACCACGTCATACATTAAGCATATTTATTGTCTGTATATAATTGTTCATACCCTTTATTTATCAAATGCCCAAATCAGACCGGGTAAAAGTTTAGTCCTACGGGTGTCTAGACTTCCTGTCCCCTTCAGTTTTCGCTCTGACATTTATGAAATGATTCAGTTCTAACAAAATAAAAAATTGTCTGTTTTATATGGAATCAACAAGTACTGCGATACATACGAAAAACAAATAGTAATACAAAATCGAATTCTCGGAGGCATATGTGTCATGAGTAAATTCTGATTTCCGTAGCTAGAAATCGGATTAATAGACATAAAAACCCTGATGTCTAATTAAAGACTCACGTTAGCCTACAACAACCGGGTGGTCTTATAAACTCCTGCGTAATAAACGTACTTCCAAAGAATGACCGGTTGAAAAACAACAAGCAGGTCACTTTACATCAAGGAAGCCCATATGAAACCAATCAGGAACTGAAATCCCTAAAAGTTCACGACGAACCGTGTGATTCAACATGCCCGACGTAAACGAGTCTCATCCTAGTGAATAACATAAATTGAAGTTCATTTTCAAAGCAAATTCAAAAAACAGATGATTGTTTTGTCTATGATTTCCCGAGGTATTTGAAGACTTACTTCTGGAACTCAAAAACGAGAGCTGAACAATTGGAAACATTTTCGCCTAACTTGAAGGACAACGAACAAAACCTCTGATGTTATAATACATCCTTTAATCCGTATGACTATTTTGGATATAATCGAATGATCTAGAATTGGACAAGACATTAATCCCTTACCACTCCCTCGTACTTGGGTCGTGTTTTTTTCAATCATTCTAACCCATAATGTGGACTCTCTGGAATTTTCTAGTTCTTCTGACAATTGTGGTCAGTCTGGTCACAGGACAGAATGGAATACCAACAAGTGAGTTTGTCAAAAAGACAAATCTAATTTAGCTAAATTTTCCAGGTGAAGAATCCATAGACGATCTTGTCTCGGCAGGCGTCTCTGAAAATGCAGCAACTGGAATCGTGAAATTCGATCGGAAACTTCAAGAACCTTTCGAAATGGAAAAGGAGAATCCAGTAGAGGCGAAGAAGTTGGAGCAGGTACTCCATAAAGAGTTTACTGAGTACATTGAGAGCTTGAGTGAGGATGATCAGGCAGAATATCAAAAATATATCAAGAGCCAACATGTTTAACTTTAAATGTGGTTTTTTTCTTTGAAAGAATGAATATGTTCTTTATTTTGCAATGGGGAAAAACATTGATGTTTCCCAGTATCATAAAATTGTATATGCTCTTGTGTTGCTTATGGCGTAATTCGATTAAACCCAATTTTTAAAAAGCCCCGGTTTTATTCCTTGTTTCTCATTCGAGATGCTTCGTTTTCTTGGAATCCTAGTCATTTTTGGTCTTCTTCACGCAGCTAACATTCATATTTCTGGAAAAATTGAATGTTCCAAGACCCTTTTCAGCTTCTTGGTAGCGGTTAAGGAATTCGATTGGCAGTAAGTTATGATCTTTAAGAATAGTATGAGTAATTAGTTATTTAGTTTTGGCAATGATCGTCTCTACACTTCGAAACCCTACGATTCACTTTACCCGCATCATTATTCGGCCTATGCGGAAGTGAATGATGTTGATGAGCTGGTTATTGTTTTTTGTTCTATCTACCTTAGAATCAATATGTCTGAAGTTTTTAGGAAAACGATAAATACGAAATTTTCGTCTCTTTTTGGCACACATGTTCCCGTGACGATAAATGGAAATACTATGAGAACAGGGTTGGATATGTTAAGCAACAGTAAGATATTTTGGAAAAAGAGTTATTATACCGTAAAACCTGTATTAGAAGGTCCCTTTAAAAGATCGTCTAATAGAAAGGCCCTCTCCGGTAGCGGCTTGGAAAAAAAAAACATAGAAGGACCACTTTCAAAATTTCTCGTACGAAATTGAATTTAAAAAAAAAAAAATTGGTTTGAAAATCTCTTTTTTGTTCAATACTTGCTCAATTTTGGTGTGATTGATAGATTTTTATTAATTTTGAAAGGTACGAACTTTTCGATGAAAAGTTTTTGAAAAAATGGCCGCACAAATGATGGGTTCTTTTAATTGAAAAGTCCCCTAATAGAAGGTCACTCCAGAGGTAGCTTGGAACGATAGAAAGACCGGCCCTTCTAATAGAGGTTTTACGGTAAATGCGAATCTTCAGAGGTGAGTATTATCTTCAACACAACGTGAACCTGACCAACGCTGAAGGAGAACTCTCGTGGAGAGATTGGGAGGATTGGGTGACCAGCAACGGATTTAGAAGCTTTTGAGTTGTGTTTTCAAGTTAAATGTGAGAGAATGAAGAACATCAAACACAACCTTTCAAGTAATTCAGCGGTGACACGAATTAAATAAATTCTTTTGATGTTCAGAATGCGATAGTCATCGGAGGAATGACAATTTGAAAGATGTTATCAATGATCACGAAGACTTTCTGGTCTGATTGAACGTTGGGGTTTTGATTCTTGGAATAACTGAAGTTTTCTTTGAGCACTTGATACTTTATAATTTGACTATACCTGATTTTGTTGCTCTTATCAGCTTAACTGTTCTAAAAATCTTTAAAAAATGACAGTCGTTATATTTACCAGTTCAATCTAGTTGTCTTTAGCGTACTCTCATTTCTAGCTCATAAGATTCTCAAACCTATTTTCTAAAAGTTATACCTATCTTCAAAAAATTATAGCCCCTTCAGCACACATCACAATTTTTGGGCACAGTCGATGTTATCGGTAATTTTCGGAGATTTGTGAAATTTGTCGACGCATTTTCAAAGAAACAAAACGAAAAAGGGTTGTGAAAGATCCGTTAAAACTACTAGACCTCATCGAATGGTCTTGTGAAAAATGCAAAAATTGGAGAATCACACTTTTAAAAATTACCGTAAAACGTTTCAACGTTAAGCTAATTTTTTTGGGTTCCTGTCCAAAATATGAAAAAGTTGTCAACTGATAAATGGTTTATCATAATATCAGAAGTATTTTTTCTGTTGACTAATTTTTTATATATTTATAGGAATTGAGATAATTGAGCTCCAACTTGACAGTGTGGGAGTCTTTCAATAATTAAAATCTTCAATTTAAATCCAAATATTTTATTTTATCAAAAGCAGAACCCGAAAATAAAAAATCACAGCATTACCCGGAAATCGAAGCAGGAATACAAACAATTAAGTCAATAAAATTTCTTTAACAGTATCATCGAATTTCATGAAATTGAACAAATCCGAGACTCTTGTCTGGTTATAAATGGTTTTCACTCCACAACGGATCGATCCAATAAGCAGCATGATTTCTCCGAATCTCTCAGCTGCACGCTCGGGATCCTTATTCTTGGAATGCTCCATCAATTCTTCCATGCATTTTTGATAAAACCCGGCGAGTGCACCTTCTTGCCCAGCATAAATTGCTCGTTTTGAGCAGGACGCTGAAAAGGGTTTTTGAATACTTTCTGGAATTCAAAGTTACAATCTTACGAGTCAACAGCAGAATCGTTTTCAAAGCTGCACACTCTACTTCGTCAATTTCCAACTTTCGAAACGGATTTCCAACACAGTGGAGGAGTTCGGAGACAAAGTTTTGATGGAGTCTGAAATTTTTAGATGTTTTTAGCTTCCAGTTTCTATAATTACTCACTGTATCTTCACTTTCATACTCTCCGCAAACCCGATATTGTCCACTGGGAGTCCAAAAAAGTAATCCGGGTGCATGAAGCTTCCATTTTGTAACAGCCAAATTCCCAGATCCGCTTCTTTCGACGTCTTCAATCCTTGATCAATCAGCATAAAAGCTAGATAGTATTCTGCGAGAACACTCTTTTTGGATTCAATATTAAGTTTTTTGAACAGCTTCAGACGATTACCCCATTCACTTGCTTGTTTGAGTGCTAGCTTCAACATTATGTTGACGTCAGCAGCTCTTGCACGTCGTCGGAATTTCACGAAATTCTGGAAGGCTAATTTTTAACGTTTTTTTGCCAGCTATACTTACCGAGCTATCTTTGTGAAAGGCTACATCAACTTGATGGTCTACAAAGTACTGCAGATGCTCCGAAAATTGAATTTTCTGGAAACTAGCCCACTCTTGAAGAAAGTTTTCTGATTCTGCTGAAAATTTTTTCAATAAAATACATCAATTCGAAACGGTTTCCTTACCATCAATAATAATGACATCCGGGCTTCTAGATTTCTCATCTCTTGATGTTTTTCGTGGACCAACAATGTCCCTTCTCTGGATAGCACTTGGCTGCATGCCAACTCGAAGACACTTTTGAAATCTACAGTATCGGCAAGCACATCGATACGCTAAAAATTTCAAATTGTTGCTGGTTACAAGGTGACGTGCATACTGTGTGAAATGAAGCAATTCTGATCCCGTAGACATCTATACTGCATTTTATTTACAATTGCCCGACGGAAGAATACAGTACATCCAAGGCAAGCGGATGCACCGTACCGCCGACTATTCACACGGTCCCCACAAACTTCACAGACTTCTGGTTTAAAATCAGATGTGGAAGCAGAAGAAGTAGAAGAGAGAAGAATCACATCTTCTGAATTGACAATAGGAATTTGGTTTTCGAACGGAGACATCTTTGTCTGAAAAGTTATTCCGTAAAAGAGAAAATAAACAAGAAAACTGAAGAAAAGTTTGGAAATCGAAAGGAAAAAAGAGTAGTCACAACTGGGTTAAAAAATTTGAGAATAAGAAAATTTCAATTTATATGAAACATCTCGTTCGAATCCCGAAATGATTTTCGTTAGTGGATTTAAGACAAAATGAGATCGAAACTTCCGTTGCTTTCATTCCTCAAAAAGAGGCGTGTTTTGTCTCTTGGATCTTTTCGTTTCTAGCCTGACTTGGACGAAATGAACTGCGCTGTGGAAAGCGACGTCGGAGATTCGTATCTAGATCCTCGTATCCAAAAACGGTGCGAAATCTAAAGAAAAGTTCAAGAAGTCAGAACATTAGGCATCATTTTTTAAAAATAGGAAATATTAATTTGGGTGATGGTGCAGAACTTTTTGATCATGTAAGTTTATAGGAAAAGTAAAATAGAGAAAATGTTCTCAAAACATATCAGAGCAGCCTAAGCGCCTCCCAACTTTTGGGAATTATCTACTAATTCATCAAGTGGTATTGAGAAAAAAAAACACATGCCGGCAGATGCTCAAATAAAATTGAATGTGAAACTGTCTAGAGGGAAACCAAAGAATGCGAAACCCCACTTTAGTTTTGTTTGACAGAAATTGTGAGATCAAAGTTTGAATCTAATTTTTTGTTTTTTTTTATCTCGATTCCTGTGAAAGATATCAAAAATGTTTCAACTGACAAAACTTTTCTGACATTATGATAAACCATTTATGAGTTGACAAAAATTTTATATCTTTGACGGGAACCGAGAAAAATTGGATCAAACGAAAAAGTTTGGGAGCTTTTCTATAACAGGTTTTACGGTACATATTTTATAAACCAACAAAACTTGCCCTGTTTTGTGAGAGAATAGATATCATCAGGATTTAGAAAAAAAAATCAAATGCTTCAAGCTTTTTTGAAGATATAAAACTGATAAAAATAAATCAGAAAATGTTTTTCTTTAAAAAAACAACTGAACTAGAAATCAAATTCAAACACTTCCTCAAAGACCAGAAAGCATAATCGAACCATACCATAAACCATGTGAAAGTAGACTCTACACAATTTAGGAACTCAAAAACCAAAACACAACTACAATGGTTTTTAACTTTTTGAATTGTGCTAACTTTTAACATCAAATATATTAGAACCAATAAAAACCTGAAGCAACAAAAAGACATCCAAGCAAAAATCGGATACCGAGGATGTCTCCGATGAACGAACGGAGATGCATCACGCGCTTTGAAAGAGGAAACGAGGCAAAATTCAATCTAATTTACGATATGTTTGGGAAGGAGTACGGTAGTCAGCAAGTTTGGTATGTAGTCTGGCGTATGTGTGACGTAGTGGTCTTGATGTTTTTAGGAATTCGAAAGTCCGGAAAAGATCTGTAGCTGATGTATACGTTTCTTTTTGTTTTTAGAAAAATGGTAGTGAGGGAACAATTTGTGTAGAGACTTTCAGAGCGAATGATTCATCGAACAAATGTTTCTAGAAAGTGGGGGAACAGAAAAAAGAGTATGATGCATTTATTGGATTATTTTTATTTGGACTATCTTATCCGGATTCCAAAAAACTAGCGATGGAGTTGAATAAGTTGTCCGCCGGTTTAAAAAATGTGCAAAATGCAAAAATTACGATAAAATGAAGAACGTCTACTGGAGGTATTTCTTAGTATAACTGGAATGTTTCAAAATCATTCGAATTGTCCTATTCTTAATTTTGATATAGGAAGTTAAACGTTTTGATCAAAATATAATGAAAAGTTATGAGATTGACAAGCACTATGACCTTTTAAAACGGGTTACGGTTCAAAATGATTAACTAACAACCTTACCTAGCTTACAAAGACCTTATAGTTTTGAGTAGAAAAAACGCCTACTGAAGGTATACTGTATGTGTAACTGGGATCTTTGAGCATTTATCGAATATTCATACTTAATTTTGAGCAAGTGCTGAATCTCAAATATCAAATATCAAACAGGGACAGTAAAAGTTACTTTTTGAAACCCCTGTAAGAATTTGACGGAGGATTGATTTTTCAACTGATATGTATCAAACAACAGGCTGCTTTAATGAAGTGGTATTATGTAGTGAGACTGAGCAGAACACAGAAAAACCAACACACAAATAATGGTTTTTCGTTTGTGTTTTTGATGATGCTAATAATGTTTTTTTCTCCACTTCTTGAGTCTTTCAAAAAAAAAACGTAATAGTCTTCCGGTAGAAGGTCTGCGGCTCATTTAAAAGTAACCTGATGGTAAGGTCAAAAGTTCCAATCTCAAAAATCGAAATGACCAAAAAAGCGTGCATGGCTGTTCCGCTGGAAAGCAGATTTGTGGTGTCTTAGGAATCTCGGAGATGGTTATCTGGAATCTGCATCGCTCCAGGTGTCGCTTTTTGAAGAAGTCCTTTTGGAACGGATGTTTAACGTCGCAGAAATCTTTTCGAAGACAGAGTGTTTAGTTTGATCGGAAAACTGATTTTTTGAATATGTGCTTTTTTGAAGAAAAAAATCGTTTGAGCAAACTACATTCATACCAATTCAGATGTTAGTAAATCGATGGAGGGGCACGAACAGATGGGATAGCAATTCTCTTGGAGTTTTATCATAAGAACATATAAGATCTAGAGAATCACAAACTATGGGAATTGGTATTAAGAAGATCATATTGAGACCAATAAACCAGATCAAGAAAAAAAACACAGACACACACCTTTCCCATAACTAAAACAAACTACAAATTCGTAGACACTGTCTGTTCGGTCTTCTCTCCAATTCCCCTTGAAAAAAGTTGCTAATAAAACAAACAGTCATTTTTTGTCCCGCCTCGTTCCACACAACTCCCAGGCAATGCTCGTTCGGTGAGCGCGGACTTTGTCTGGACTCGGTGATGGGGGAGAGCCACCGGGATGGGGTGGGTGCAAAGTACGCGATCGTTTCTTTGGATTCTTGGTTTTTTGAACACTTCGACTATCATCATCGGCTCGATAAGCTATCATATCGAGTTTATAGTGACGAGAGAAGGCTCGAGTGTAGCAATATAGATCTAAGAGTGGAGATCAAAAATGAAGGAGAGGCTCTTATTTGATCAGAGAGTGCCAAAAAATCAGTTGTTCGCAAACTATTTTGTTGTTCGTGCGAGGGAACTTTACGGGGAAGTTTTTTCTTGAATGAACACTTGAACTATGTAGGTACGGTACACTGAAAAACGATGTGATGTTTTGTTTTTTAATGGGAAATGTCTGATTTTAGAGATACGGAAATGAGGTGAATTTGCGCGATCCTTTTGAAATTAAAAAAAAAAACTAAGAGTTTTCAAAAAATTTTGGGATTGCAAAGTTTTCCATTTAAGTCTACTTTACACCTTCCAAAATTTTTTAGTGGTTGGACACTTGACAGCCGAGCTCCAGGTTCCTCAAAATTATCAATATCAACTGAAATTTTTTTTGTTTACAGTAAAACCTGTAATAGAAGGGCCCTCACACTGTCAATTTTGAAATTAATAATTTCTGGAAATTACAAGGCTCTAAATTCAGTTTTTGGGATATTCAGCTTCCAATTGGTTTCATCTATCATGACAAGGGACGACTCCTGAGTACTGTATTATGCAGAATTAAAACCGCTCAAATTTAAAAACTATATTCAGCTCATTTCTCTTCGTGATGTTAATTTCTGACTATTAGACAAATGAATCACGAAGAAAGTTAAAAACGCATTATTGCGAACACGCGTTCGCACTTTCAGAACTCAAGGGATCTAATCAACTCTACAGGAACAGGCTGGAAGTTGTGCAAGAATGAGCTGAAAATGCTGAAAAATGATAGACACCTTTTATCTCAATGTCTCGACGGTGACAATGAAATGTAAGAGGGTATAAAATGAGATACCACAGAAACGCTGTTCTAAAATATTTGTTCTGAATTTTGAATTGTTATGTCTACGAAACTGTCTAACTACTCATCGGATGACCGCGTTGTTGGTACCATTGTTTCAACGGTATGCTAAATTTTAGAGTTAGCAAAAAATTATTGTACTCTAATTCCTAATTAGGGCACATTAAAAAAAAGCTTTTTTAAAGTTATCGATATCAATGTATTCATTTTATGCTCTCTTAAATCTTGCCTGGAAAATTTTCCTTTTCTAGGAATGCCTACTTGGAGCTCTGTTGATTTTGCTGATTATCTTTGGTTGTTTCAAAATCCCGTCAATGAAATCTCCATTTGGACACCTTACTATCAATCAGTGCACAGGACAGCTAATTGCGTGCCTGTCAAATGGGATTTTTTACTTTGTCGCATTTGTTGTGTAAGTTGACATTGGTTTGGGATATGAGACTACAAAAATTTCAGTGATTACCGTAGTATTATCACTTACTCTTTTGTAACTGGAAACATTTCTTTATGTTTGTTGGGAATCATCATTGTGTCCTACTTTCTTATGTCACTAAACAGACTTGTTGCTATCACCCTACCTTTCCAATACCGGTGGTTGTTTGGAAAGAGATCCGTTCGTCTATTAGTGTTTTCAAATTGGATGATACCACTTCTTATCAGTGCTTATCTTATGATTATTAGTAAGTTAAAAATAACTGAACAGCTTCAAAATAATTTTTACAGAAGATTGTAAGTTTGAATTTGACCATTATGGTTGGACTTTTTCCACTAATCAGAATCGCGAGGTACTGCTAATCTTTTTTTTTCGAACTTTTCTTAAAATCCCTCGTTCAGCTCTGTGGCCCGTCTCTTCGTTTATATCTGACTCTAAGTCAGATGCCTGTTACAGTTCTTACAGTATTCTGTGATTTCATAACTCTATTAATTTTGGTGATCGGTAGAAAGCGAATTTTTCAATCCAAGTCAGCTGAAATAAAACGGAGGGAGATGAATTTCGCGAGACAAGTGCTTGCACAAGGCGTTGTCTTGTTGGCTCATAGTTTTTGGTATAACCAGGGAAGAAATCTGATTCCGGGATTCACTGAAGTCTGGCGAATCTTTTTGACATCCACTTTTTCGTCTAATCTACTGCATGTGTTTGATGCGTAAGTTTAAACTTTTGAAGGTATTAAACAGATGCTTTTTCAGAACGGTGGTGTTCACTTGCAACTTTGAATTCAAAAATTGGCTTTTTGGCGAAAAGAAGAAGCAGACGACTTTGCTCCTAGTTTCCACGATTCAGGGAAGAATTCAGGGAAGTCATTGATTGTTTTTTTTTGAATTTTTAAAAAATAAATCTAACTTTATTACTCTACTGTGTTGTAATAACGGTCGAGATGTAGCTCACAATCAGGTATAATAAAGAATTCAGAAATTACAAAAAATTAGTCCATTGGTTTTCCATCCTCATCAATTTTGGTACCTTTGGCAGCCAAGTCAAGTCCAAGCGAGTCGACGACATACTTCAAATCGATCAATTCCAATTCCTCCAAAAGTTCCTGCTTCTTCTCGTTTCGGATAGCCAACAACTCATTCTTGGCTGCAATCACTTGCTCGGCAACGTACTTATCATTCATGCTGACGACATCGCGCATCCGTTGGATGACCTCGTGCTTCAGCTTGATGAGCTCATCAGATTTCTCCTGAGCATCCTTCTCCTGACCCGTTGCCTTATCGCTAGCCTTCAGAATTTCCTCTCCCAGTTTGCACAAGTTGGCGACAACGACGTCTTTCTTTTTCTCCGCTTCCTTCACTTCGTTTTCAGCTTGTTCCTTGGCAACTTCCGTAAAGTCTGGAAAATCATTTTCTTTTTCAAGTTTCTATAACAACTCACAGGTGTCCGACTGAAGAATGGATTGCTGAAGCTTGAGCAGAACGTCTTTGTCTTCTACCGACATGTTTGGAGCTGAAGAATGGAACGATTTTTGAACCTACAAAAACAAATAGATCTTACCAGCTTGCTTGAAAAGATCTTCAATCTGGCACAGGAAGTAGGGGATTGGGAGCGCGCGTTCCGGATCAAAAACCGGGTTTCTCGAAACACGGATGTTCATCTGAAAAGTGGGAAACGTGTTAATTGAGACTTTCTCAAAAAAGAAAGACAAAAAAAGGTATAGAATTGGTCTGCAGTACCAATGATTATAAAACAACAAAAGAGCGCATTGTATTTTCAGAAGATTTTTTTAAAAAGTGTAACAAAAGAGAAACAATCGAAGATGTAAGGAACGTTTGGGATAAAAAAAAAGAACAATTTAGCAGAGAATATCGAGATAAACCAAACTTCAATCCGACGCTTTTTCCAATTCAAATTGGAGGTTCTTAATTTTCATGTGGAGCTCGGCTATCGCAGCATGATGGTCTTGCTCACTCTGCTTCAGGGATACCTCATGCCAATAGATTGTGGTATTATTCTTCTCGTTGAGCTGCTTTCTTTTCTCATTAACTTCTCTGATCTGGGCTTCAAGACTACGCAGCTCAGCTTGTTTCTCTTTGAAAACCTTCTGATAGTCCACAGCCTTTCCGGAGTGGGATGCCGACTGTTTTCCCTCCTGAGTTTGAAGTTTTTTTAAAGCTTCCAGTTGGTGAGAAACAATATCCACATATTCGCTCAATTGCGCAACTTGTTGCTCTGCTGCTCTCTGAGTTTTGCGAGTACTATCTTAAACATTCCAGATTTATTATTTTTTTTTTTGAAAATATTGTCAAACTCACGAATATTTGAGCTGATAACGCTATTCTTGAGCTGGATGAAGAGATCCATCTGCTCCTGGGTGGCGTTCGGAGCTGAAAATGGAGTTTTAAAAATATTTTCGAAGAAAGGAGAGTTCATCAACTAACATGGACCCAGCTATCAATTAAAAGAATTACAATGGGGCTCCACGAATTTTAATAGTAGCAGCTTGTTCAGGTAGGAGTCCTACCATAGGATCATGAATAATCTTGTTTTCTTGTTGTCTCAAAAATACCCAAATAAAGTTCTAAAGTGTACCAAAAACTATACATTTTTGTATAGGATGCCCAAAAAATCGGAGGCCATTGAAAAAAAAATCGGAGACCGGTAAAAAATCAGGGACCCAAAACTTGGGACAAAAATAACCGACAAAGGCCAGACTAAGAATCCCAAACAAACTTATCGGGTCTGAATTTGTACTTCAGAATTTGAAAAATTATGGGCCTCTGATTTTTTACGGGCCTCCGATTTTTTACAATGGCTTTCGATTTTTATGAGCTTCCAATTCCAGTAGACCAGAAGACCCCAAAACTTACATACCAATCTTCTCGAAATTCTCCGTCAATAACTTCAAATAGTGGTCAATTGGTTGAGGAGATTCTGCTTTGAAAACGATACTTTCATCGGTAGCCATGGCAATCTGAAAATCAAGAGAATTAAACTCACAAGGAGCTTTAAAAAATTGGAAAAAATAACATTGATTAGTCATCTTTATGGTTCTGACGGCAGATGTTTCATACTGAAATCAGATACCCACTAACAAAAAAGGAAAGAATGCCTTCAGTCTGGTAAGTGCGCGCGAAAGTTATGATTTACAATCCTGGCATCGCCAGATGTTCGCGCCTTTCAACAGAAAGACGAAGGAGAAGCCGAGGCACGTGACATGTGTTGATTTATGGATAGTGTCTGCGATGCTAATTAGAGACAAGGTCATTGGAGAGCGAGATTGTTTTTGAGATTTTGATGTTGCGAAATCTGATTAAGGTATTATATGGATTTGACCAGACAGAAGGATGAAAAATTACAAATCAATGGGAAAAAATTCATTTTTAGATAAAATGGAACAACTAGCAAATAAAACAGTTAAGGGGAAATCGAGGAAATGATACTGTCCAGACAGGTGGACAGAACTATGAAGGATGTGATGACATAAATGATAAGGGAACACCGGCATGTGCATCCAATTAAGTCGATGAACTACGAATTGCAATTAGGTTCAGCATAATTGACTCTCGAAGCCAACACGTTCTCCAAATTGTCTAGCATAGCCGATATGTCTACCTCGTTTTTCATCTTGGAAACTTTAGCTTCATATTCCGCTTGAAGGAAACGAGTGGAAGCTGAAAACGAATAATGTTTTAGTGTGAAGGTATTAGTAAAATTAATTTATATGCAACATTTCCTCTTCAAAACTAAGTTTTTTTTTCCAAAATTAAAAAAAAAGACCCACCAGCAGTTGCTGAGATCACCAATTTATGCAACTCCGCCAGTTGGGCCTGCTGCTCGTCAGTGATTTTCGGAGCTGAAAATTATCAATTGATAAAGCGTATTCATAAAACTAGAACATTACCAATAATCTTGACGTACTTTGTGATTTCTCCCAGGAAAAAAGCGGCTGGTTGAGAATGAGGGATGTTGGTTGGCTGATTCTGGGCAATAGTCTCCCGAGATTCAACTTCCATTGACAAGCAGGCGAGTTCGTTTTCATAAGTCGATTGCAGACGACGATTGGATACTAAATGAATTCAATTATTTTCTGTTTGAGATTTTTCAAAACCCACGGTAATTAGCTACAATAACGCCTTGTTGCAGTTCCCCCAAGTGAGCTAGTTGTGGTCCAGTGATGTTAGGAACTTAAAAGGTTAAGTAGCTTCTTGTGATTTTAGCTCTAAAAAATACCTATTTCCAAGACCAAGCTCGTGATCTTTCCCAATCCAATGGCTGCCGACGGTACATTTTGAGCAGAGGAGTTCATTTAGTTACCAGCGGGTTTAATTCCTGAAACGTTCCTTATCAATCATCAAGAAGTCGTTGAAGATAACGAAAAAAATGAGAAAAAAAACCAAAATGAAACTGTTTTAAATGCTTTTACACCATTACCATTTTAGAGTCTCTTCCAAACAACACTATTTCGTTTGGAAGAATTCGGTATACCGGGGAAAAAGTGGTAAATGACCTCTTTCTATTTGTTTTTGACTGATTGCTTGAGGAGAAAACGATGAAGAATAATGTGAGAATGGCACACGGCGACACACGAATGGTGCAAAAGTGAATGAGACAATGAGAGGGAAATGTTGATTCAGTATTAGGAAAATTCGAAAAGAAGAGTACTGTAGTCGCTCGCAGATATTTTGCAGCAGACTATAGTTTTGGCTGTGTATTGTTAAGAAAAAAAGGAGGATAACAACAGAAGTATATTGCAAATGGCTATTTTCTATCAGTAGATGGTTCGTCTGACCTACTCTTCAAATGAATCATAATCAGAGTATGTGAGATAATGTTTCTGGCATCAAAACCACTTTTATAATTTCGTAACAAGGGAAAACAGAAATCATGAGATGCATTTTTTATTTTATGGAAAATAAAGAAATTTTGAAGTCATGCAAGTCATCGGGCGAAACAGATTAAATGTAGTTCAGATTGATGTTGACTGCCTAATGTCCCATACGTCTCTGTGCAAGAGTGCTCCACTCCTCGAACTTTTCTGGTACTATAAAAAAATTATGAAATTCGGTTATTAAAAATTATAATATAACAAGTAGTGAATTTCAAAAGTTTTAATTTTCACATCAAAGTACTGAAAATTCAAAAAATTTTGTGAGCCACGTGAATCTTTTGAATCTCCCAAAAGATGGACCGTTAAGTTTTTGGGAGCAACGTGTTTTTTCAACAAAAATAACAGAAATATTAACACTTTCTGAATATTTTTCCCAAAATTAAAACTTTTGAAAATCACTACTTGTTATATTACCATCCTTCACGAAGAGCAGTTCAAATTTTACAGTTTGCAGAGCTAGATTTTCAGACACGTTTCCTGAAACTGATGGGATATTTGAAAGTCGAAGTGTATCTTAATCTAACCAGTTGCCTCGGCCGCTTCGATGATTGCCAAGTATCTCAAAACGGTCGCTTGGTGTTCCTTGTCGCGAAGCACAACATTTTTATAGTTCGAAATAGCCCACTTGAGCCAACTGATGAACAAGGGAACCTGACGACCTTTGTCTGAATTAAAAATTATATAAGTTTCGAGAAGTCGCACATACCATCGAGCGCCTCACGTAGCTCGTTACTCATCCGGTTGACCTGGATTTCCTGACGGAGAGTTAGTGGGACTGAAGTTGGAATTTATAGCATAATCAAGGGAGAAATAATGTACCATGCTTTTTATAGGTTTTCACCATTTTGGTGAAACCAAGAATTCTTCTATCGGGAGCACCATTATTCTGTTGCATTTCGAAAAAACGTGGACGGGGATAATCTAGAAATTTGAAATTTTAAGCATCTGAAAACATTAGAAAGCGTTGTTGGTTTGAGGTTGCTCTCAAACTTTCTTCTAGGACGAGAAACCGTAGAATCACTAAAATTTGCACGGTCCAATGAGAGAATAAAAATTTATCGTAATCTGAGAAAAAAAAAAAAATTTATCTTAAAAGACCAAGAACGAACAACCGTATTCTTTGAGCCTATTTTAATTATTATTTTTTTCCCAATCTTCTTGATTTTTTGACGATTTTCATCGTTTTCGCAATGATTTTCATTATATTAGTTCTTTTTTTTAATTTTTATCGCAAAATCGAGCTCAAAAGATATACGGTAGTTCGCTCTTGCGCCTTTAAGAAAAATATAACGAGATATCAGATCTTTATCATTTTTTTCTCTGATAACAATAATATAAAAACGCGAAACAACATTGCAAACACTTCAGAGATGATTTGAAACGCAGAAGAACGATTTTAGTGACTCATTGGTCCTTTCTCTCGTTCTCTGTCTCAATCTATCGATGAGTGTTATGCATCAATGTCTTTTTTTTCGAAAAAATTGTTCCTGTATTTGTGGTAAACAATAGAAAAACATATTCATCTCAATCTAACGATCAGAACCATGGAATATTGAATTTTCGAAACAACCATGCAGCAAGAAATTTTCACACATATATATGTTTTCTCGAATCTCCAAAGTCTGCAGACCATCTGTGTTAACAGAAATCGATTTTACAATGGAGGAATTGTCCCGGAAGTTTCGAAATATTTATTGACCAGCCCGGTAGCTGGTGCGCCTGAGGCGGGATTCAATCTGCTTTTTACCTGTTCACCACTTTGCTACCTCACTTTTCGCTTTCGCTTTCTCGAAAGGTAGAACATCTATGTATTTATTGATAACACAATGAATTTCAGCATCATAACCCGTTTTTATACAACCACACAGAAAAATAAATGACTGATTCAAGTATAACAACCACTATCCTTTGACCACTTTGGATTTGAATGATAATGAAAAGTGATCGGATTCATTGCAGGACCAGATTTATAGTCGGCGTTGGAGTGCACACACGGCAGGTCGGTTCGCTGTGGGATCTGCAAAAATGATTGGGGTTGAAAATTTCAATTGAAAGGAGACACTTACCAGACATCCTTCACCGTTGGGACAGGTGTTATCCAGAGACCGATAGTACTTTTCAAAATAACATCGGAACATAATTGGAAAGTAGTAAGAATGTGTTGGAAGCTTGGATGTGACTTTTCTAAAGCTCTTAGAATTGAGCAACCTAGAAAAATTTTGAAATCAATCCACGATTCTTGTGCTCCTTACTTTTTCAATTCTCTCTGAACTGGTTCCATCACAGACTCGTTCAATTTCAAATGCTCATGAATTGAGAACGATTTCATCTCGTAAGTAATCGGGTCCTGTCCATTGGTATCTACTGGTCTCTGCATATGAATCAAAAAGTTGTGATCTACAACACGCATGTTTTTGTCAGGAACGTAAAACGAACGGTGTATCCACATGGAATTCAAGTCAGGTGGCCTTGCTACTGTTTTTCCAGTATCTTCGGTATTTGCAAACCACGGATGACAAAATTGCTCAACCAGGTCGACATTTTCGAAATTGTGTTTATTGTGTAGCATAATTTCTCGTTTTGGGTATTGAAAAGTGAGAATATCTGGATAAAAATAATAGAGGGATGAGAATTCGTCGTAGTAGGAATTGTAGCCACGTGGAATCAGAACGTCATCCAGATCCACAAAAGTGATAAACGACGCTACTTCCTTATATTGCAGCAAACAATCCGTGGTTGCCCCTGCTTGATTTCTCCACTCTACATTTGAATTTGGCTCTGGCGAATCAAGACTACTGTTTTGGAATCTGTACCTCATCCAGAAATCAACAGTGACGTATCCCAATTTTTCATATTCCTTAACTAAATTGAAGTAAGATTCTAGCATACTTGTGACATAAAGATGGAGATGACCGCCGAAATGATGGGCAATGAGAGCATGAACAACGAATATTTGCCACTGTTCCGCCACGAATTGAGGAGAGATACAGACTGGGGCGGGAGCTGATGTACGGGAAAGTCGAAATGGTGTCTGAAACAGTTATATTCAATTTGACCGAAATTGTTTCATGTTGAAAGTACCACGTTTCGTAATGACGAGACAGTATTTCCTCTGATAGAAGACCACCGATACCGTTAACTTTGAGCTCAATTATCTCGATTTCCGAGAAAGATATTAAACTTTTTTCAACTAATGAAATATTGGTGATATTATGATAAACAGTTTATCAGTTGACGGTATTTTGGTATCTTTCACAGGAATCGAGATAATCGAGTCAGAGGAAAAGCGGTAGTAGAAAGTATCAAACTTCGAAAGTGTTATTATGGTAACTTTGTTTCATAGATCAGTTTAAAATATTTTTTACAGAAAATGCAATTTTTGGAATATGAGTGATCCTTCTAATACACAAGTCGGAAAGATGAGATGTGTTCATTCGTTTATTTAAGTACACACCTTCCTTGTTGGAAACAAGAAAATTTCAAATAACTCACCTTTAGTTTTGCTGTACTATCCACAATTTTTAGCTTTTCCATTTTTGGAATTCCAGTAGCATGAGCAACGACATTGACGTAGACACAATTAGCATATGATTCTCTTTACAATGTAATATAGCTACTTTTTATTTTTTTTGCCAATACTCACTTCAAAATTTTAGGCACAACTGCAACAGATTCTCCTGTCCCATTTTTAGCTACCAACTCTACTTTATACTTTGTGATATCTCTCATAGTGTTGCGGTTCACTAGTAAAACCATTGCTATTGCATTTTCTCCGAGCTATTTTGATTTTGGATAGTAATATGTGTTAATGATATATGCATCTGTTTTGGTTTTCGGATCTCCAAAAATGGTTTCAGCTATTTTCTTTTTCCAAGAGACAAAAATTATTAGATATTGGTCACCGTTTTCCAATAGGGGTGGAATCACAAAACAACCCAAGATATATATTGTAATTAAAAACAAAAGAAATATCAGTTTCTGCAAAGTCGGGTTTTAATTAGAGAACAAAAATCCACTAGTAGCTTACTAATGTTTTCAACTCCATTAGTAAAATGCAAGCTTTAATGAATAGGTATTAAAAAAAAATAAAAGTAGAACGTGCAAATATCGGATTTCCTTTAATAAAGTCCCATGGGCTTCTAATTTTCAGCCTTTTTCTGAGCGTGGAGTAATGTTAGAGAAAGGGCTCAAATTAGACTTAACAGAAGATACCAGAAAATTGGACAAAAAAGATGTCTGCAACAGCCGAAAAGGAAACTGCCCAGTCAGGGTGGGCTTCTATTAGAGGAAATACGGTATCTAACACTGAAATCGTGTACAAAGGATCAATAAAATTTTTGAGAAGATAGAAGAAAAAAGAAAAATGACAGGGAAGCTTAGAAACATTTGATGGCATGGTTAGATATCTTGCGAGATACATAGCAAGAACCAAAACACGTGCGGGGTTGCTTCGAGAAAAAAAAAAGATTATGTACTCCTTGGTAACTTCATCGGATTCACAGGAAGCTGATTTTCCACAAATGTATTTAACTCAAAATACAAAAAAAAAAACGTTTCATTTCGTAAAGTAATTCCGTCACAATAACATGATGTTGACGAATCCCATTCATTTCCTCTCTTCGTTAGCTTTTGGTAATTAAAAATTTACAGTTCATTCAAACGGCAAAAAAGCATGGAAAATTCGGCTCTTTATGGTTGAACGGGAGTTTAAATATTAGACGGGGGTTTTCAAAAGGTGTCAGGAACATGTTTGGGGCAGTCCCCAAAATGTTCCAAAGTGCTACATTTTCTTGTTTTTTTTTTGCTTATTTCAGTTGATTTATTCGTTTTTCAAATCACTTTTTTCGTTTTCTGTCTTCTTTCATGTTTAAAAGTTTTGCACCACCCTTCCTTCTCCCAGGCACAATGTTTCTTTCTGGAGCTTCATCTGGACGGTTCTTCTTTACACCCTTTCAAACTACTTATTTGGTCCTTTCATTGTTGGTTTGTAGGAGATATGCAACGTCATCTGGAGGGAAACAGTTCAACATTGTAGATGAGATAAAATCTGGACTGAAAAAATACTCTGAGTCGCGGCCAGATGGATTTTGGAGGCATGGTATCCACAAGTTACTTGAACGTTGTCAGCATGTCATGGACCACGACGGTGCATACTGTCAATCTTGGATTGGATATATTAAACCATTCACATACAAATTAAAAAATGGACAGTTACATTCCTTCCAACCTAATAGTTCACTTAATAGTCCAACCTAATAGTTGCTTATACTGTATTGTGTGGTTGTTGAGGAAATAGTGAAGTTCCGAAGAACAAGTATCCTTTTAACTCAATTTTTATTGTTAGGGTTTTTGCATATACAGTATCGGTCAATATTAGATATACAAAAACGTATTTTCCAATTGATTTTTAGCCATATTGACCATTTTCAGGAGTCCGGAGCTTGTCAATTTACCGAACGCTTTTCAAATTTTGGAGAGCTCAAAACAGACCCATACAGAAAACTTTGCATTCACTGATTTTTTAAGAGTTCCTAGTTTTCCGGCAACTTCCCGATTTCCGAAAGATACCTGATTTTTGGCCCTTTTTGTAGTGAATAGGTGAAAAAAAAATAGAGATCGGCGAATAGCTGAAAAACTAGGAATTCTCAAAAATTCTGTGAATGCACATTTTTCTATCGGCTCTTTCCGGGAAGAGCGGTCCCAAAGCAAGACCGCCGGTCCCAACGAACACAGCGTTCCCATTGGTCCGTTAACGGTGTCATTGATCCGACAACGGTCCCAACTTTCCGACGCCGGTCCCAAGGGTACGACAACGGTCCACTTGGTAGAGCCGGAGAAACCTTTTTGTTTCGTGGAAAAAATCGGATAAGCTGTCTCAACGATGCAAATTTCCGCCCGAGCGCTGCATATTATCTATTCTCAAAAATCTGATGGGTATCGTTTTGCTTTCTATATAGTTTCATCCCTAGAATCTCGTCCATTATCTAGCAAGTGCATCTGGTAGACGTCGAACGTGAATTTTCCGCTGCAATGTAAATACGGTAGAAAGGTAAAAAGATTTTATGGAAATGAAGGAAGAGAAGCACCCGTAAAAACTAAAACCAGTAAAAATAATCCAGAGATAGTTGGCAATAGAATTATTGGATTACAAGTGAAGAGTTAAGTATAGCAACCAATCTCCTTTGACCATGTAGGATTTATGTGGTAGTGGTAGGTGATGGGTTCCATTGGTGGGCCTGATTTATAGGTAGCGTCGGAGTGGATACATTTAAGATCAGATCGCTGGGGAATCTGTAAAAAACCAATACAAAACAAAGTTTTATGGCTTTCAAAGTTTGCTAATTCCGGCATTTAAAAAACTCACCAAACATCCCTCACTGTTAGGACAAGTAGCCATGTATCCTTTCCGGAAATAACAACGGAAAAGAATAGGGAAATAATAAGAATGAGCTGGCAGACGTTCAGACATGCTTTTGATTGATTTTGACTTCATGAATCTGAAAAATTGGAAATGAATTTTTTGAGCAATTTATTGCCTAAAGATTGTCCTTGCTCTCTTAGAATTACCTTTCGAAATCCAATTGCACCGGCTCCAAAACAGAGCTATTCAGCTTCAAATCATTCATTATTTCATAATTGCTCATTCCAAAAGGCACCGAATCCTGACCATCCGTATCAAACGGCTTTTGCATATGCAGTAAAAAGTTATTTCTGACAAGCAGCAGTTTTTTGTCAGGAACATTAAATGATCGATGGATCCACATTGAATTTAAGCTTGAAGGTCTTGCCACAATTTTTCCTGCATCTTCTCGATTCACGAACCAAGAGTGCCCGAAAATTTCATGGAAATTTATGTCGGAGATTTTCGGTTTGTTATGTAGCATCATTTCTCGTTTGGAGTACTGTAGAGTCAGAATGTTTGGATTCAAGAAAAAGAAGGATGAGAATTCGTCAAAGTAGGTGTTGAAGCCACGTGGAATGAGAATGTCATCTAGATCAAAAAATGTAACAAAGGAGGCTGCCTCTTTGTACTGTAGAAGGCAATCTGTGTGTGCTCCTGCTTGATTCCTCCATTCAACATTGGAATTAGGTTCCGTGGAATTCAGAGTTGAATTGAGTTTGCTTTCGAATTTCATTCTCATCCAATAATCGATAGTAACGTATCCTTGCTTCTCATACTCTTTCACCAAATCAAAATAACTTTCTAAAATACTGGTTAGATAGAGATGGAGATGTCCTCCGAAATGTTTTGCAATGTGAGCATGAGCCACGAAAATTTGCCATTGCTCAGAAATAAATTGTGGTGAAAGACATATTATTACAGGTTCCGGAGCTGTTTTACGAGCATGACGAAATGGAATCTAAAAAGTTTAAATACAGATAAAGTAATGGGGATGAAATACTGACCTCCATTTTTGTGGCGCCAGAAGAAATTTCTAATTTCTTCAAATTAGGTAAGGTATTGGTAGTTGCCACAACATTGATATATGCACAATTTGAATAGGATTCTCTGAAAATTGAAGTTTTTTGATTTCAAAAAGTTAATAAACTTCATCCTTACATTTGTAATTTTGGCTCAACTGTGACTGTACCCCTTGCCTCGTTTGTCGCCACCAATTGCATTTTATATTTCGTGATATCTCTCATAGTATTCCGATTCATTAGCAATACAATTGCCAATGCATTTTCTCCAAAAGACTTGGATTTTGGATAGTAATAGGTGTTAATTATATAGGAATCAGTGTTGGTGATAGGGTCTCCAAATATTGTAGACGCGATATTGTTTTTCAAGGAGTCATATAGTATCAGATACTGATCTGCATCCTCCATGATAGTGGGAACTAAAAACACTGTGAAAAGGCAGATAGTGAAGACGATACTGGCAAAAATCCATTTCTGAAAACTTTGAATGAGCACCTAACTATGAAAAATTAATCAAAAACCTACCATTTGCTTTAAATCCAGCATCTTTGAAGCAAGTCTTCTGCAAAGACAGAGAATCTTCTACAACAGTCCTGAATATTTTCTTGCTTCGTTGTCTCTGTCCATTGCTAGATTCTTGTCGCTGTCCGGACGATGCACCCGCTTTTCACCCGACGCAAACATGTTTTCTTCGTTTTATATGGATTCGTGGAAATCTGTTCCTTATTTTCAAGATATGAGATAATGGCAGATGGAAAGCAAATTTTGGAGCGGGTTTTTTTTGTAATTGCACATAATCATACATATTTCAGATCGATTATTCAGGGACTCTCTTTTAACATTGACAGTGTAATTATATAGTTCGAAATCAATTTGAATGCTTTGTACTCTCATTTTTGGGTCTCATTTTTACAGTCTCATTTTTCCAGTAATACAGTGCTCTACATAATGATACGCCACCCCTTCGAGTTTCGATTGTTCCGCGATCTCAACCTCATCAAAAACGTTTGGGATCTATGATAAGAAAGATTTATGATTACAACAGAAGGTAAGATAGCATAGCGGACCTTAATGAAGCCATATTTAATGAATGGCTGCTGTTAGAGCAAAAACTGCTGGAAAATCATTCGGTATGTCTTTGGATTTCTTTAATTTTCAATGTCAATCCACTAATGAGCTAGATACAATTTTTTTTTTCTCAAAAACTGTTGCCTCGTTTTTTTCTGGATTTTTAGTGGATATTCTGAAACCGACGGCAATTACATATATGTATTTTATTAAATAAACTTTTTCAGTATTTTCTCAAAAACTTTTTGAGCAAATGGGCTAGGAACATGTGTTTTCCCTGGAAGTTAATTATTCAATCTGAAAACATAAGATGCCAGTATGGCTGAAAACGTTTGCCACCATTCTACACTCATATATCAGCCTCTATACTTCGCATCAGAAAACTTTCTTGAATTTCGTGTTTTCCTATTTTATGTCTCCTCACCGGAACAAAACGACAAAAAAAATTCCTACGGAGATCGTACGCGGATTCTAACGTACGTCTCCTCGTGTTGCGTTCATTTGAACACAAGAGATTCTGATGATAAACTTTTCAGTTCAATCCTTCTCAGAGATTCTGAAAATTCGCATTCTGTAATTTTTTTAGTGCAGAATATAAAATATGTATTGGTTGTGAAAATTTTTATTCATACTTACAAAACCGTAAACAATGAAGAGGTTGAGAAATTCGGAAAACTGAGGATCGTTGGACAAATGGGAAAAAGAGGTTAAAAAAATATGAGGGCATTGGAAGGTCATGAGGTATTATGGAAAAAATTTTGAACAGTTCGAGAATCATTATAAGGAATATAAGCTCATACATTCAAGAATATTTGATATCCATGGGAAATTTTCGGTTTCATGCACCGAATTCAAACAAATGGAGATGTGTAAACGGAGATCACAATAGCTAGTTAAGAATGAGAAGATATGGTACTTTTAGAAAATAAGAATAACAATGAAAAAAAAAGAGAATTCGCTACTGGCTGATTCAAGACCTACAAATATTCACATGTTCATGTCTTCGACGTTCTTCAGATTTTCTTTGCTCTCCATAACAATGTGGTTTTTGTTGATTTCCTTATTAAAATCGTTGGCCTTCTCCTCTTGGGTATCCTTCTGAAGCTGCTCGTTGTCTCCCTTGACTCTCTCCAATAGTGGATCCCTCTCCGATTGCTCATTATTGGCGACAGGCTCCGGGGTGTGTGTGGGCACATACAGCGAGAGGGCTTCGAGCTCTTCTATAAATTAAAATTTAAGTTTGAGTTGATGCATAGCAAAAATAATAACTTACTTTCCAGATCGAAAACTTCCATTGTAGCTAATTGAAGCTGCCCCGCATATGTATTGCATCGAGTCTTCATAACTCCAATATTTTCTTAAAAAACCAGATTTTAATGTGTCTCAAACTATGTGGAACCTACCTTTCAGTTTCTCAATTTCTGAATCCTTTGTTTCCATTTTTTGCCGAAAATAGTAGATTTCCCGCTCAAGTTCAGTAGAGTTTGCTTTTATGTGGTCCATCGATACTAAAGATTTTATTATTACTTTCGAGCTCTTTTTCACAAAATACTTACTTTTGCTATGTTTCAACAATTCTTCCTTCAGTTTCAAATCCTTCTTTAGCTCCATACTTTTAGCTGAAAAAATGAAATATTAAGTTGGTTATTTTCCAAATCAAAAAAGAGCAAACTCGGACAAATTACCAAGCTTTTAAAACAAAATGAACAAAGAGATGTACTTTCTATTTCATTGATTTTCTTTAACTGCTCCGCAATCAGTGCTTCCATCGATTTTCTTGATATCTGGAGTTCGGTGTTTCTCTCTGAAAGAGAATTATTTGAACTATACTAAGAGCTTAGCCTTACCAGACATCTGACGTACAATGTTTTCCAGCTTCTCATTCTTTTCTGAAAATTACAAACCGATTAATTTCCACTTGTGGGGGATGTCTCTCCTAAAATTGGAGGAGGCGGAAAATTTCTTTTTTCTAAGTCTAAAATCGTTTTGAAATTGTAGTAGGAAACATACCGTTCAATTCGTCAATATCTCGATTCTTCTCGCATTTTCGGCAGGCGAATATTCTGGCGTTAGCTGAAAGTTGGAGATTGTATGAGATAAAATTTAATTCCTCACCTGCCACTTGACTTGCTTCATTACTTTTCAATTCGACAAGCCTAACCAGTTCTGCAATCCTTGCATCGGCCGTATTTTTCTCTAACTCGAGTTCTCTGACTTTGGTATTTAATCTGTCATTCTCGGCTGAAAATGATTTTTAAATGAGAATAGTTTTACAGTAAACTCTAACCTTTCGAATCATCTATTTCTGCCACTGGGATACCTTCAGTCTGTTTCTTTGAATTTGCCTGTGAAGTTTTCATAGATTTCCTTAGAAAATCTGAAAATATGGTATTAATTGTTTTAAAAAATGTTTAAACTCACACTCATGACTCTTTTTGATATTAATGCATATTTTAGCCACATCGTCGGTGTGGTCCAGTGCTGAAAATAGGAGAGTATGTATTTGCCTTTTTAAGAAACTTATGCCGCGTTCAAAGTTGATTTCCAGGAAAAATTTCCTGGAAAAACGCTGTCCAAAGCTGCCACTTTTTTCCAGGTTTTCCTGCTACTGTCGCAACGAGTGTTACCGTAGTTTGCCTCGTTCGTTTCGAGAACACCGACCTCGCACGATTTACGGGTTTTTTTTAAACGCAATTTTTTCAGTCATAATTGACTGTTTTTGCTGGAAATTTTTCGAGAAAATATGGATTCCGATGAAGAAAATGTGGAAGACGTGAAGGGCAAAAGCGAAAATTCGTCAAATATCGATAATCCGGAGAATCCAAGAATTGCAATAAATAATTATGAGACTTTCAAAAAGGTGAGAAATAATTCGTTTTTTTTAATATCTGAAGTCCACTTTATTTGTTGTTCAATTCAAGTTGTTAAAGGTGGGATATGAAAAAAAATAATGTTTTCGAAATTCCGTTCAAAGATGCCCCTCGAGGAGTTGAACTTGTGAGGGCGATGATTGAGGGTGCGGCGCCGCTACCGACCGCCCGATTGCATACATAAAGGCGAGTACGACATCTTTATATGGGTGAGATGATGCTTCAAAAACGATTGTGGGCGGGTGGTTCGGTTCCGAAATCAAATCGTTGTTCAGACGGATCAGCGATATTACGAGTTCCACGGCGGATTCGTAGGTCAATTCGATTGGAGTCATAAAAATCCTAAATCGACCGCTCATCACACCGAAGGCATGCTCAACTTTCACTCGTGTCTTCGAAAAAATTATTATTAAATAAAACTTGGTCATTACTCAGTGGTGGTCGTCCATACGGTTTTAATAGTGTAGTGTCCAATGGGAAAATTCCATCGCCAACCACAAACGATGGCATGATATAATTGCTCGTAAGGAAGATCGGCTTCGGTATATTTTCCTTTTTTTGAAGAATCTCCTTCAGTTTCGAATTTTCATAAATCGACGCATCAGATACACTACCAGGGATTCCTACAACTCTAACCTCTTCAACAATCACCTTGTTTCAAATTACCGATATCAACAAACCGGAATCTCAGATTCGCACGAACCAATCCCAAAGGAGCAAAACTAAAGAACTTCTTGAAGTTAAAAAACAGAGATCCTGAATTTGGTGGAGCTTTGACCCTAACATGTTTTCCGTCGATCGCACCTATACATTTTAGTAAACCACGCCTCACAAAAGTCTCTTTAATATCTCGCCAATCTTCGGGTTTTGATGGAATTCGAATATTGTCATAATTTTTATTGATAACTTCAACGACCCGTTTGACAATAGCAGATACTGTAGATTTTGAGATACCAATTCTTCTGGCAATGCATCCTGCCGATTGACCTTGAAAGTTTTCATATAATTGATTATTTTCCAATATGTACTAAATGTTACCACTTGTGAAATATTGAAAGAACACCACTACTTGCTCAAATTCCTCCAATTTCCAATTGTTTGGAGGATTATTATTCTTCAGTAAATCTTTCAACTTGAGAAGCATTGTAAATGGAACAAATAATTCAGCCTAAACATTAAAGTTATTGTACATAGCAATCATTTCACACCTCCACAGCTTCTGGAATTTCATTAAACCACTGACAATGTTTGATGAAGCTTTTCAATTTTTCGAAGTTGTATCTCTTTTTTGCTCTGATTTTCAGCCCTTTTTCCTTTTCTAATTTTTCTCTTTTTGAAATCTTTCCTTTTTCGGATAACTGCTGTCACAACAGTGACGATGTCACCTACAAGCCGAAAAAGAATAATTCATCAGAAATACAAGCTACTCACAAATGTCTGATCTCTTCCACATTTTCTTCATCGGAATCCATATTTTCTTGAAAAATTTCCAACAAAAACAGTCAATTATGACTGAAAAACGTTAAAAAAACTTTGAAAAATTGCGTTAAAAAAAACCCGTAAATCGTGCGAGGTCGGTGGTCTCGAAACGAACGAGGCAAACTACGGTAACACTCGTTGCGACAGTAGCAGGAAAACATGGAAAAAAGTGGCAGCTTTGGACAGAGTTTTTCCAGGAAATTTTTCCTGGAAATCAACTTTGAACGCGGCATTAGCTATTACAATAACAATTTTTGTTTACATTCTAAAGATCTTACCAAGTTGCTGGATATAGGTGCACAATGCATTTGCATAGGCCATTACAGGAAATGCGCGATTTTCATCGAACTCGGCTGTGTAGATACTGTTCATGGCGAATGTGATTGGTACCACCCAAGTTTGGTGATTTCTGAAATTCAAAACTTAATCAAAAAGAAAATTATTAAGCAAATCAGCTTGAAAATAAACCCTACAAATTAACTAATCAAAGGAAAACCTAGATAAATTTTGCAGGAGACGGTTCTCAGAAGAAGAGAGAATCACTATTCTACTAAAATTTGTTTTTGTACAGCAACTACCGTATTTTTTAATAGAAGCCTATGGGCTTCTATTTTTCAACTTTTTTGGATTCTATTAGAGGATGGGCTTCAATTCTCAATAATTAGTTTTCAAAAAAAATTGTTATTCAAAATTCAGAACTTTAACAATTCGAAAGTTAAGAATTCTGATATTCAGTGTTTCGAAACTTTCATTCTGCAATTCTAAATTCCAAAATTACAAGCTTACGAAATTCTGAAATTTTGGAAAAATTCTGAAATTCTAAAAGTCTGAAATTGAGAAATTTAGAAATTAGAATATTCAAAAATTGAGAAATCGTCGAGTACTAAAATCACAGTTCCAAACAATATGGAATTTTGAACTACTGTATTTTCTCTAATAGAACCCCATTGCCTTCTTTTGGAGGGTGGGCCTCTTTTTTTCGAATCACCTCGCGTGGTGGGCTTCTATTAGAGGTGGGCTTCTATTAGAGGAAATATGGTAAATTTTTTTCGAGTCTAAGATATTATTTTTTCAAATCCAGAACAAAAAACATTTACTGAGCCACTAGTTTATTCTACACTATGTGCTCTAATGAGAAGGGGCGTGTGAAAGTTTTAGGCCGATGGAAAAACAAATAAATTGGGAGCGAGAGAGTTCAATCTCCGTGCAATACAGTGAGAGACACAGAGAAAAATTTTGAGTTACGAATTATCTCAGAATTTTGAGAAATATTTGGTTATAAACCACCCTCTGACTCAGAGTTCATAGGTGCCAAAAATCGTCTGGCCGAAAAAAATAGAGTTGAGTTATCATAGTTGGTAGGTATTGGGTGAGAGAAAGATAATTAATGCAGGAGGGTCGTAAAACTGATAGTGACTGATAGGACGGGGTGGTAATGTACTATGTAGGTAAGGTAAATAAAATGAGGACAACTACCATGATACAACTGAGCACAAGAAAAACTGCTGTGGGCATGCGTATTGGGGGAAGAATAAAGGAAAACGGTTGGTGAGAGTGTGATGAGAGGGGGGTACGCAACAGCTGTCTCTGGATAAATGACCAACATATGTAACAAGAAGAAGAAACACAAGAGATGGCAGAAGGGCAATGAGGTAAAACTAATTGATTTTTGCATTTTTTTTTTCATTAAAACTCTAACGAGTGCGCGTTTGAGCGCGTTCACAATCCTTTGACAGGGCAGATCAATATCTCATTTTAAAACCTGTATAAGAAAAAGGTTGCTTCGCATAAAAAACAATTATTAGTGAAAGTCCATCACATTGACATATATATTTGACGTAAAACCTGTATTAGAAGGGCCCCTTTAATAGAAGGGCCCCGTAATAGACGGGCCCTCCGTGAAAAAGGACCCCCTTCAAAATGTGTTTTGAAATCAGAAAATTTCTGTACTTTTTCTGTGGAAAATATTCCGGGAACCCCACAATTTAATAGAAATTTGTTGAAACTCTATTTTTCGATGAAAATCTTGCTGAATTTTGTTAAAATTGGCAGATTTTCAGAAATTTTGAACGAAACGTCGTTGAATTTTTCGATGAAAAATTTCGGAAAAATAGAAGGGCCCCTCTAAAGGAAGCGCCCCTGTAAGAGCCCTCCGGAGGTACCTTGGAACAATAGAAGGGCCGTCCCTTCTAATACAGGTTTTACGGTATGTTCACGTGCACTGCAATGCCTCCTGTGGTTACTATCCTACAATGCCTACTATCGCCTTTGGGTGTCGAGTGACACCCAAATCTCTCCTCGTCACCGACCTCACTTTCCCATAAACTCATCCGTCTGCTCACGGACTCTCTCTTCCTCACTTTCTCGTGCTCTCCTTTTTTAGTGAGTACGTTGTGCACAGAAATGAGCTAATGGGGTATGACGGATACCTCATGTCTAATGGCTCGAATCACGAAAACGTGCCGTGAAACTGAAGTTGTTTAAAGAAAAATTTTCAAACGCACACACACATAATCTGGGAGAAGCAGTGAAAAGGTTTTGCCGCTGTGGTGGAAAATTTAGTTTAATGTTACAATCCGACATAATAGGAGACGAAGGAGAAGATGTTGTATAATATTTTTTCCATTTTAAGCAGTTTAATTTTTCAAGATTTTTCAGCGGATGTTTCTTTGATATCTGAAAAAAAGTAAAACTATTTCTGATTGGAAGATTTCAAAGTGATTAATTAATCGAAGCGAATTCCACGACTTCATGGACATTGCTTTTTTTTATTTTTGGTTATAATTTTTCAGTAATGTAGAATTCAGAATAGTCTTTAAAGGTGGGGGGGGGGGGGGGGCAGGAGATTTGTCGGAGTTTTTTTGTAGCTAGGGTATGCATTCTACCGTGACGGTGTACAACGCTTAATGTCACTCTGCATACAGCTGTCGTCCTCGCCTTTATGTATGCAATCGGGCGGCCGCTTTCTCTTTGCCCGTGTAGCTCAGTCGGTAGCGGCGCCGCACCCTCAATCATCGCCCCAACAAGTTCAACTCCTCGAGGGGCATATTTAAACGAAATATCGAGAACATTATTTTTTTCATGTCCCCCCACCTTTAATGCGATTTAATTATGAAAAAGTTCTAACAAGAAATATAAAAAAAGTTTTTTATAAGTGTGATCTGATTGTAAAAGCGACAGGAAAGTATGAGATAAATTTTTCAGAATAAATATAATTTCCAGAAAGTCGAGTTGTGTAAAATAGTAGGATGGGGAAGTGGCGCTAAATGGCAGTGTGGATTCTGAAAATTCTAGAATTATCATCCTTTAAAAAACCATTTCTGTGATATACATCACCTGATGCCCATCTCGACGAAAACCTTGGCTGTCATTTTCACGGAATGCCAACTCCTCGATGATCTCGTTCATATTTCGTATTTACTCAAATAGAAGCGCACCCAACCTGTCATCTTTGAGCTCAATTATCTCGATTCCTGTGAAAGATCTCAAATTTTTGTCAACGGATAAACTCTATCTATAATAATATCACAAATAGTTTATCAGTGATAATCTGAAACTGGCAGCAATTACCATATTGCTAGCTTTCATATGCAACTTATCTGTTGGTCAAGCAAAATATATAGAAAAGAAACATAATAAACTAACACAATATTTTCGACTATGACAAGTATCAAGTTTTGGGATACAAAACCATCCTAGATTTCAAAAAAAAAACTAAAATCACAGTTTTTCTGTATTTTCTCTAAAGTTTTCAGCTTAAATGGGCTATGAATTTCTTTAGAAATCAATATGACCGAAAACGTCAGTAACCGTTTTACATTCATAGATCAACCACTAAATTTCGCTTGTCCGAAAACTTTCTTGAATTTCATTTTCTCATATTCCCGTTTTCTGCGTCCCCACCGGAACAAAACGACAAAAGCACTCCATACGGAGATGGTATGTGGATTCTGACGTACGTCTTCTCGCCTTGCGTTCAATTGAACCCGAGATATTCTGAAGATAACGTTTAGTGCTTCTTTTCTTCAGGAAAACTAAAAGTTTCATCCTGAAGTTTTTTTAGGAGAATAAAAAAACGAACGCATTTGTTATAAACATTTTATTTATAACATTAAAAAACCGAGAACAATGAAGGGGGTTGAGAAATTCGGAAAATTGGAGGTCGTTTAAAAAATGGGAGAAAGAGATGAAGAAGGGTGAGGGAATTGGGGGTCATGAGGTATTATGGAAAAAAAAAATTTTTGAACAGGTTGAGAATCATCATACGAAAAATAAGCTCATACATTCAATAACAGTCACTATTTTTGGGAGAGGTGTCATGCACGGAGTCATAGAAAGTGAAGATATGGAGAAAGTTAAAAAAGAGAAGATATGGTATCGTTAGAAAATAAGAACAACAGCAAAAAAGAAAGAATTTGCTACTGGCTGATAGATTCAAGACATACAAATATTCATAGTTTCAGATCTTCGAAGTCGATTTGATTTTCTTCGCATTCGAGATCTATTGGATTTTTGTCGATTTCTCCAACAAAATCTTTGGCTTTCTCCTTATGGACCTCCTCCTCCGTTTTAAGCTGCTCGTTGTCTTCCTTGACTTGCTTTACTAGTGGTTCCTTCTCTGATTGCTTATCACTGGGCTCCTCGACTCGTACCTCCTTGTATGCTGGCTCATACAAAGAAAGGATTTCGAGTTGATCTATAAATGGAAATTCAAATTCGACGTGATGCTTGGAAAAACAATGACTCACTCTCCAGGTTGAAATTTTCTTGTGTAGCAATTTGAAGCTGACCTGCGTATGTCCGGCATCGAGTCTTCATCTCATCGATTTTTTCTTAAAATCCTGATTTTATCGCGTCTTAAACTTAGTGAGGCCTACCTTTCAGTTTGTTAATTTCTGAAACCTTCGCTTCCATTTTCTGACTAAAACCATATATTTTCTTTTCCAATTGAGTAGAATTGAATCTCATTCGTTCACTGGATACTAAAGAATGTTTTTTTTGAAGATATTTTTCAAAAAACTCACTGTAGGTCTTTTTCAACTTCTCCTCCTTCTGTTTTAACTCCTTTTTGAGCTTGGTACTTTCAGCTGGAAAAATAATTTAGTTGTTCAAATTCCAAATCAAGAAAGAGCAAATTCAGACAATTTGAAAGATTCTAAAATAAAAATCTAAAATGAATAAGAAGATATGTACCTTCTATCTGTTTGATTTTCTTTGTTTGCTTCTCATTTACCGCTTCCATCGAGTTTTTTGATATCTGGAGTTCGGTGTTTCTCTCTAAACGCAAACTATCCGAATTATAATAAGAAATTATAGTTAGCCTCACCTGAAATTTGACGTACATTGTCCTGTAGCTTCTCGATCTTCTCTGGAAATCACAAAACGGTTAATTTCGTGTTGTGTGCAGAGGGAACGAGGAAATTTGGTTTGAAAAATTGCATTTTTCAAATTTATCAAAGTTATTTCAAATCAGTAGTAATCAGTGTGTCTTTTCAAAAAAAAAATCTCGAAAAATGTCTTTTTCAAGACATATTCCGGGGAACGAGTTCCTCGAAATTTCAATGTGGGATTTCAGAGTGTCGTTGCTGACATTGTTTTCTCGTTTATTTGGTCATTTTTAAGTGGTGGCCTAACATGTGCAAGTTGGGTCTTCTAAGCCACCACTTTTTTGGCCTAGAAATGGTTTAACATGTTCCTGGTGTGTTTTCTAAACCAGTTTGACATGGTGGCCTAACTTCTGCAACTTGAGCTTTCTAGGCCACCATGTCGAAATGACCTAAAAATGGTCTGATATTCATCTGTGTATTTTCTAGGTCATTTCGACATGGTGGCCTAAAGAACCCAAATTGCAAAAGTTAGGCCACCATGTGAAAATGACCTAGAAAACACACAAGGGGCATGTTAGACCATTCCTAGGCCAAAAAAGCTGGTGGCCTAGAAAACCCAACTCGTTGAAGTTAGGCCCCCATGTCGAAATCTATTCGTTTTAAAAAATTCCTCAAAAAATTTGAAAAACTTTCGAGAAATTATTCAAAAAATGTTTCGAAGCCGTGTTGAAAGGATACACTGGTTGTAAGAAAACATACTATTCAAGTCGTCATAATCTCGATTTTTCTCCACTTTTTGGCTTGCGAATATTCTGCCGTTAGCTGAAAGTTTGAGGTTGTATTAGAAACAATTATTCCCTCACCTGTCAACTGGATTCCTTCTTTCAATTGTACACGTTTGGTCAATTTGGCAATCTTAGCATCAGCTCTATCTTTATCCGATTCAAGTTGTTTGACCTTGGCTAAAAATGGTTTTTAATTTTTACTTGTTCTACAAAAACATCTAACCTTTAAGAGTGCCATTTGTTGCATTTTGCTCTTTGAGAGCTTGGACCGCTTTATCTGCATTTGTCCAAGAACCTTCTGAAGATTTTCGTACGAAATCTGAAAATATGATATGAAATGCATGATATTGAAAAATTTTAAATCTCACACTCGTAACTCTTTTCGATATTACTGCATACTTTTGCCACAGCGCCAGTGTCATCCAGAGCTGAAAATGGGAGAGTATATAATTCAATTTCTTAGAAATTTAGTTTTACAATAACACAAATAATATAATCAAAATATCTTACCAAGTTGATGGATATAGGTGCACAATGCATTTGTATAGGCCGTGACAGGGTATGGGTGATTCTCATCGAACTCGGCGGTGTAGATGCTGTTCATGATGAAGACGGTTAATGACGAACAAGTTTAGTGATCTCTGAAATAGGAAATTTAATAAATAAGGAAATAATCAAAGGGTGGCTTCTAGAAAAATTTTAATTACATGAAAATAGTTTTTAAATTATGTTTTTTCCTATTATTGCTTAAAAAATTTTTTAAAAAACCCAAAATCCCCAAAAAATCTTTTCGGGGGTTTTGGATTTTTTTTAAATTTTGTGGAAATAATAATAGGAAAATACATAACATCCAATACCGTAAAAACTCTATAAGATAGCCACCTCTAATTGAATGCCAGCCTCTAATATAGTGCCACCCCAGAGCAACTCCGAACAATAGAGTGCCAGCCCCTAATATAATGCCACTGCGGATTTGATGTCACTGTGGTGAAAGTTGAAGAGAAACACAAAAAACCATTTACTAAGTTTCTAGCCTTTTTCAAGCTCAAAAAAGATACTGTATTTGTCAAAAAGGTTTCAGGATAATATCGGATTCCGAAAATCTCTAAAAAGGAAGTAGAAAAGTCAAGAAAACCTCGAAAGTCATTTCATGAAAAAGTTGAAAATCGAGTCCTTTTGTGATGAGTTTCAGTAGAAGTTGGTTCTCAACAAAAAAGTGCCAGCCTCTAATTGAATGCCACCCCTTAATACAGTGCCACCCCAGACCACCCCCGAACAATAGAGTGCCATGGCTATCTAATAGAGTTTTTACGGTATTTTAATGCAATAAAAATTTTGTTTGGAGACTTCTCTTAAAGGAGTGAGAAGGAAAGTATGAAAATCAAAGTAAAAAAGAAAACCAAAAAGGAATTCTACTGAAAATGGGGATCACAAGAAGAAAGAGAACTAATATACTGAAATATATTTTTGTACAGTAACATACGTTTTATTGCCTAAGATCTGATTTTAAAAAAAGCTAACATTTCTTTGAAACTTGGTTTTTAAAGGTGGGGGGACATGAAAAAAAATTGTTCTCGAAATTCCATTTATATACGCCCCTCGAGGTGTTGAACTTGTAGGGGCGAGGATTGAGGGTGCGGCGCCGCTACCGAACTGAGCAACGCGGGCAAAGAGAAAGCGGCCGCCCGATTGCATACATAACGGCGAGAGCGACAGCTGTATGCAGAGTGACATTAAGCGTTGTACACCGTCACGGTAGAATGCATACCCTAGCTACAAAAAAACTCAGACAAATCTCCTGCCCCCATCCCCACCTTTAAAATATTCATTTTTTAGTTTACAGTTTGCGACCTTCATAACCACTCGAAAGAAACATTTTGGACGGGTTTTTTTTTTCAATCTTGTTAGTAAAAAATATACAACACTCTAATTGTAAGTCCCTGGTGACAAACTGTCATGCAGAAAAAGAAACAAATTCAAATGGCAAGTTTCTGTTTACACGCAATTCTTCGAAATATATCTAATTCTATACAGAGACGCAGACGATCGAAGAAGTATCCCTGCTGTGTCAAACGGAGGAACAGGTACAAAACAAGGGTGGACAAGAAGACAAGCGTTGAAAATCGCACGATTCTGCAGAGCGTGCAAAAAGAAAATCCCCTAAATTGTTCGAATTAGCAGCTCGTAACTGTTAACAACATTTCTACTCAAGAGGGCAAATAAAAGCGAAATTCCTTTTATGTTGAAATTGGGGAAAAAGATAATTAATGCGGGTCGGTCGTGAAACTGATAGTAACTGACAAGAAGGGTTGGTAATGTACTATGTAGGTAAGGTAAATAAAATTCGTGTGTGTTTCACACTCTTTCAAAAAGAGATGGACATCTAACATGACACAACTTGACACGAGAAAAACTGCTGTGTGCATGTGTATTGGGGGAAGAATAAAGGAAAACGGTTGGTAAGAGTGCAATGAAAAGGCGGGTATGCAATAGCTATCGCTGAAGGATAGCCAACGAGAGAAGAAAGAAAAGAGATGGCATGAGGAAAATGAGGTGAAAACTAACTTTTAGAGGTGAACATTTGTTCCTAATTCTAATTTTGTATATTTCTCTCGAATCATGAACAAAATATAAACATCCGAGAAAATGTTTGTTAGCGAGGCAGAAGACTTGCAGATGAGCTCTACCGTACCCTTGTTGTGAGTATTTTTCATTAACGATTTAAAGTTTAACGGGTGTTTGTTCGAGCGCATTAGCAATTCTTTGACATGGCTGAAAATAATTGTTTATTTGATATTTTCAGGGCCTATAAATCCTTTTTTGATTTTTTTTCGCAAAAAATCGATATCTAGTGGTTTTATCTTTTTGTAGTTTTAAGATTGAGCAGAGAATCACCAGGCTCTTTAAGAGAAGTTTGCTTCGCATTTTGAAAGACAATTATTAGTGAAAGTCCATTACACGGACATCAATAAACTAAAATGCAAATGGTGGTCGGGTGTGTAGCTGTCCTTGTCCTATGGCAACTCCAGCTAGTGTGTGGTAGAATGCTTTACTCGTGTAGATGACACGTGTGGTATTTCAAACTTGGGTAATTAAACCTTTATATAAGAAAGAGTTAACAAAGTATACAAATTATAACAAGTAACAAAGTAAAGAAAGAAAGAAACAAAAGGGGGGAAAAAGGTGGAGGACGGTCTTGGGCGACCGTCTCCTGTTGGGACGAATGTAACAATGAGAGATGGATTGATGGAAGTTGGTCGTCAGATCGTTGGGGGTGGAGTCAAAAGTCTTGGGACGAATGCGTCATGGGGAGAGAGCGTTGGATGGAGTGAGAGATCGTTCCAGGGTGTAAAGTACAGTGAGAGCGCGGGTGTTAGGAATGAGCAATGATAAAGGAAATAGAGAAATGGAGGAGAGGATTATACATAAATAACATAAAAAGAATACGAAATTTATAGAATTGAGTATAATCAATGTATGCTCAATGTCTATCGTCTCTTGCTCTCATGAAATGTAGTTTGATGTTACAATCCGACATAATAGAAAAAGACGAAGAAGCTGTTATATATTATTTCTCATTGGAAGCAGTCTGATGTGTTTCTTACTTTGAAAAACAGCTACTTTGATTGTTTCTGATTTTTAAAGATGTTTTAGCGGATGTTTCTTTGATCTTTGAAGAAAAATTTAAAACAATTTCTGATTGCAAGAGTTCAAAGTGATTAATTAATCGAAGCAAATTTAACAAATTTATGGACAGGTTTTTTTTGGTTATAAATTTTCAGTAATGGTTTCCATTGCGGAATTCAGAATAGTCTTTAACGCGATCTAATGACATAAAAGTTCTAATACGAAATATAGAAAAAATAGAAAAAAAATTACGAGAAAGTGTGGTCTAATTGAGAAAGTGACAGAGAGACATCGTTCAGAATAAATATACTTTTCAGAAAATCAAGTTGTGAAAAATAGTAGGTCGGGGAAGTGGCGCGAATCGGCAGTGTGGATTCTGAAAATTCTTTCAAAAAATATATCAAAAAAGCATTTTTGTGCACACCTGAGGCTCATCTCGACGACGGACCCTGGACGTCATCTTCACGGAATGCCAGCTCCTCGATCATCTCGTTTAACTCCCGCTTTTTGGCATTGAGTTGTCTTTGGAGAGATTCGATGTCGTCCTGAATCTTAAAGCAGCGCAATTCCAAACCTCTGATTGTCTCTCTATCGATTGGAACTAAAAACAAAGGTTTATAACTTTATTTAAAATTGCAGAGCTGGCTATAAATATGTGAAAAATCGTTTTTTTTCAGTTGCTTCTGACCATTTTCTGGGGTCTAGAGCTCGGTTGTCAAGTTTTCGATCACCTAGAAAATTTTGGAGAGTGTAGAATGGCAGATTGTAAGTTGAATTCACAGAATTTTTGAAAATTCTTATTTTTCAGCTATTTACTGGTTTCCAAAAGACACACTCTTTTTTAACGTTTCTAGTACACAAACAGGAAAAAAGGAGGTCTTTTTTTTAGCCAATAGCTGGAAAACTAAAAATTTTTAAAAATTCTGTGCGTGCAAAGTTCTCAATTTAGGTCTACATTTTCCAAAATTTTCAAAATGATCGGAAGCTTGACAGCCGAGCTCTAGACTCCTGAAAATGATCTAAATCAGCTGAGTAACACGTTTTTCATATATTCCGCACTGTACATGTAATTGATTTGTACTCACCAACACTTTCTGTTGTCGAAGTTGAAGATCCGCCAACTTTCTCGAGGAAGTCTGAAATATTTCATTTGTGCTCGAATGTTCAACTTTCTTCAAAAAACATACGCTCGTGGCTCAGCTCGATGTTTCTTGCAGTGATGCCAAGGCGATTCCATTGGCTAGGCGAAGCGCGTGGAGCTAGAAGTGTATTTTTTTGGAAGAAAGTTCTAGAATTTTGATTTGCTTACCCATGCGCTGAACCACTCTTATGAGGGCGTCGACATAGTAAGTTGGAGTTTTCGGTTTTTCCGGATTGAAAGTTGGAGTTGTCTTCGCAGCACGGTTGGATGACATTTCACTGGTATTGCGAACTTCAAAGCTGAAACAATAACAATTTCCAATTGAGAGAAAGTTCAGATTTGATAGAGTGAATTTGGCAATTGTGAAACTAAACTATCAAATATGCTTCAACATTGAATGGGGTGCCAGGCACACATTCGTGCCAAGCAGTGCATGAAATGGATAAGAGAAAACCCAAAATTAATCACGGTGTCTAGGTTTCAATCTGGCGAGACGATGAAAAAACGAAAAGGTCTGGCTAGTAGAGATGTGAATAGTAATTTCCGGGGGTGTGCTTCTAGATTGCTATATCTCCCAAAAAAAGAGAAAAAAGGGGTGTGGCTAAAGAACACCACTACGGATCAAATAAAAGACATAAAGAGCAAAAGAGCACACCAATTCGGGACAGCGGTTTCGAGCAAATCTTGCCCATTTCCCCCCGAGTCACATTATGAACTAACACCGTCATTTTATGGTCTGGCGAATGGGCAAAAAGAGAAAGAGAGAAGAGCGAGCGGAGGTGTAGTAGTTGAGATGTCAAAATGGATTTCTCTTTTTTGAGCATAATGTCTTTTTTGTGTCAGGAGTGGCAGAACTAAGTGAAATTAGAAAATTGGAAAGAGAAGATGACGTGGTGGGAACTTTCGGAAATTTTTCAATGCTTCCACCTCTTTCACTGAAGTTGTACGAATATACCGAAAAACTAAATCGTGGGAATTCAGAGATGTTTATCAGCTAGGATTCTATGTTAGAAAGTCCATTAGACTGAAAATATATTTGTAGCATGCCGTATCCCTTGTAAGAGGTAAGAGTCCCCATTTCAAGCAATAAACTAAAACTTCATTTTCTATTCCTTCCCGGTTTTTGAGATCAATGTTTTAAATGCAGCTAAAAGATTGTAGCCGCCGATAGGCGGCGAAAAGGATCTTTAAAAAAAAGGAAATAAGGATATTTCTTCAACAACATTTCGATTGGGTGTTCATTTGAAAGCAACTTCTCTAAACGATGTTTTCTGCTTTCAAGAAAAACAAATCTCCTGGATCTTCGCTGTTCGCAGTTAATAATTTGGTGTTGTTATACGTCAAAAGTTCTTTGAACTTCCCAACTACTCTGTCCTCCCGATTCCCTGGAATGATATCGTGACACAGGCTGTGCTTTCAGATATGTTTGGAATACGATACAAACGGTTACGGAACCCAAAATTAAATTCAGTGTCTTCCCATTCTATTGGATTTTTACTTTTTTTCGGATTTGTAGCATGTATGAAATGGTAAAAGGAAATAAAGACACGATTGAGCTATATGTGAACAATGGACGGATGAAACTCGATCAAGATCGTCTTTTCGATTTACCAATGGATTGTTCATCTATCAGACAACGAGTTTATGGGGATATGCCTTCATTCCTACCCTTGAACAGACCAATTGCATTTGTCAGAACTATTTACAAGATCTATGAGCTTCAAGAGGCGCTTTTGTCGTTATCTTATCATCCGGATAACACATTTTGCTTTATTATGGATGCAAAAAGTACCGCTCGAAGAACTCTGTCAGAAGTATGAGTGATTGTTTTGAAAATGTGATTGTTCTGGAAAATGAATACATTTTGGATAGTGGAGGTCATGGACAAGATCCTGCGCATTTCGATTGCCTTCAAACTATTCTGGATAGAAAATGGGATCATGCCATTATTCTGCAGGTAAGCTAGAACATTTGTATTATGATGCACATAATACACTTATTGAGAACTTTGATTTGGTCATCAAAACTCCTTATCAACTTTCGGACCTCAGTGAGCTTCTCAACTACACCAATATTATGGGATTTGAATTTGGATTGAGCTCTAGATACAACACAAAAGCAGATTGGACACCAGCTGGAATGAAACTTTTCAAAAATGGTAAGTATGGTTAGATTTGAATAAACGGTTTCTGTTTTTTTCAGAAACCGGTGTTCCTGATAAGATTCTTCATACAAGGATGAGAGTTCGGAAGAGCATGAACCAAGTAATCATTTCCAAAGTATTCGTGAAATCGATTTTCGAGAAACTCAATATGCACAAAATCATTAAATTGTTCGATGATAACGACAACTACGGAGTTGATGAGATGCTCGTTCAGACACTTTATGAAAATTATTTGGGATTGGATGGCCAAATGGAATCTAACTGTACACAGAATCATAATGATATTCTCACAAGACTGACACATTGGGACTTCACCGGACCAAATGGATTTGATAAGGAGTGTCATTCAAAATGGAAAAGACATGGAGTCTGTATACTGGGTGTAGAGTATCTGAACGAGCTATTTAAAAGTCAGATGGTAACAGGTAAACTCTAGTTTCTTTCTTAAATCATTCTATTTTTTGTTTTCAGCAAACAAGATGTTGACAACTTTTGATTTCGGAACAATTGCTTGTATGCGGGAGATGATAAAAATGAATGTTACTGGTGAAACACTCGATACCGTCTGGTTGACTTCATTTCCTCAGGTACAGTATGGAAGATATATGTATTCTGAAAAGATAAATTTCAGTTCCGAGAAATGCAAATGAAGACAAATGGAACGTACGATAGAAACACATTTGACTGTTAGATGAGATCCTGGTTAGATGAGATTGGGGGTCATGCGGTTTTCCGATAATAGTTAGTTTTTTTTGTGTGGTGATAATATATTCTTTTTGAAAAAGGAATACCGTAAAACCCGTATTAGAAGGGCCCCTCTAATAGAAGGGCCCTCCGAGAGGGGCTTGGAAAAATAGAAGCCCCCCCCCCAAAAAAATAGAAGGGCACTCTATGAAAAAGGACCCCCCCCCCCTTCAAAATGTGTTTTGAAATTAGAAAATTTCTGTACTTTTTCAGTGGAAAATATTCCGGGAACTTCACAATTTAATAAAAATTTGTTGAAACTCTATTTTTCGATGAAAATCTTGCTAAATTTTGGTGAAATTGGCATATTTTCATGAATTTTGGACAAAATTTTTTCGAATTTTTCGATAATTTCGAAAAAAACTGGCCGAAAAAACAGAAGGGCCTTTCTGATTGAAGGGCCCCTGTAAGAAAAGGGCCCTCCGGAGGTACCTTGGAACAATAGAAGAACCGGCCTTTCTAATACAGGTTTTACGGTACATGTTGAATAGTGGAGTCCAGGTACAGACTACTGAAAATGGCCAAAAACACCATTTTTAAATGAAAAATAGGTTTTTGTATATCTTATTGAATTGAAATGCATATTCAATTCGAAGTTTCTAGTCATCAAATAATTGATCTTAAAATAATTCATGTTAATCATTTTGAATCAATCAGTGTACTTCAGTCAGTTTTTTTTTGACAGGTCATATAATCTTAATTTACAACCCGAAAGGTCTGCACGTCTGGCGATGTGTCGGCACATACAAAAACTCGAAAGAATAAACACATTGACTCCAAAGCGGCAAGCCTGTTGTAAATCATGTAGGATGACGCCCTGCTTCCACACGTCCACCTAATTGGCATATCAGGTTACTTTTATGCCCCGCCCACCTTTGGTGGCTCATTATCTGCACAATAATCTCCAGTTGCTTTTCGACTTCTCTCCAGAGTTAGTATGAGCTCAAACAAAATGCTAAAAGAGCCAGAACCTCATTCATTTCTTCTCCCAAGTGACTATGTGAATGAGCTGATCAAAATCACTCAACAAATGGGTAAGATCCTCATCATCCTGTGAATCTAATTTCTAATTTTCCAGCACCTCATGCTACTCAATGGCAGTGGAATCAGTTCGGGCTTATTGCTCGCAGGATCGAACTCAGTCATCAATGTGAGGATCTTAAAGTTTTCAATTCCCACTTTAATGGAAATCCTGTTTTTAGATTACCTCAACAAAGCCTACTCTGATATGGTCGAACTTGTCAACGCACCAGAGACGTCATCGAGTCAAAAAAGAGTGAACGAGGATCCAGAGTGCCCCCCGAAAAAGAGACTTCGCCAGGAAAAGGACAACAACGAGGTTTATTCCAAGAAAGCCGACAAGAAAGGTATGACCAAGACTTCATAAGGTTCATAATCATCGTGAATAAACATCTTCCAGTTAGCAACGAAGACTACATCTTCAAGCTTCAAGAAACCATCTATCAAATGTCTCTGGCTCAGCAAAAACTTGGCCGCGAGTTGAATATTTGTCAGAACACTAACGTGGAGATCAACAACGAGTTGGACATTATCCAGAAGCAGCTCATAGCCGAGATGGAGGATCGAATGGAGGCAAAAGAAGGATCTCTCGAGGCAGCGATTATCGAGCTTGGGGTACAGCTGGACAAGTTGAACTCTTGATTTTCTACTTTCAAAAGAACTTTCTTTTGTAGGGTTTTTGTTTTCTATTCCTTTGCACTGACTATGTGAATGGCCTCCCTCACAATCAAATTCTATCCGAACTCCATATCTTAACTTTGCCCGCACATCAGATCAATCTAGCTTTCATGTTCCTGGATATAGCTACTCCCATTACTCGTTTCTATACATTGTGCACCGGAAATAATAATTCACACATCATCAAAGACGCAATTATATATTTCTCCCCGCCACCTAAGAGTTATCTTTTCCAATTTAGCATTCCAAGTTGATATCGCTATGTGTTGAGTTTCTTTTTCTCCAACCAGATATTCTGTCATCAGCTTTTTTACTTTAAATCAAAGTTCAATTGCTTAAACTTCAATGAATATTTTATTCAGGTGTTTCTTTTTATTTCCAGATCCAATAACCATCAAGTTCTTGCTCCTAACTTTTTTGCTCAAATTTGAGACGATAAAAAAAATATCATGACGTCATTTAGACAATGTGAAGTGAACTTTGATGTAGATCAAAATAATTCTGAATTTTCCTTATGGAAGTCTACATGAAGTGTGATAAGAAGGCACAAAGAAACTTGATAAATCACATTTTTGATGAATTGCACAACGTTATGTGTCGATAATGAAAGAAAAGATTTTAATGAACAAAACTTCAAGTACAAATTTTCTTATTGTGATTCTCTGTTCAAGGTACTGTAACTTTTTTGGACCTATGTCAAATTATTTCAGAAAATTAGCAAGCAAATTTTTATTTTTAAATCTGAAGTACAGATCCTGAACCGAGTATTAAAAAATGTAATAAATAAATTGAGATATTATCGAGATCGCAATTTCAAAAAGAAATAAAAGGAGCATCTAAAGTTTCTCTTCTTCACGCTTTCCCTCTTCAACATCAGATCCCCATCCAACTTCAAGTTTCTTATCCAAAATTGGCGATTCTTTCAAATTATTGGTTTCAGTGGCTTCAATTTTTAAAGAACTTCTACCGGACCCGCCAATCACACTTTCGATAAGCATCTTTTCTAGTCTGAAATTAGCTTTTCAGTTTTTGGAAGTCAATTATCGGACTCACTTTAAGATTGGAACCTCAAACAAGCAACTCCAGAAGAAAGCCAGCACGTATGATAGGAGTGTGGCAGGTATGGCAACGTACAAAAACTGAAAAAAAAACTTATAGAATAATTTTCCAAAAATATTTACTCACCACTTCCCAAGCCGATGAATAATGAAGAGTTCCTCCAACATTCAAGTAGTAGAACAAAACCATCCAATGCACAATATAAGCACAGTAGGACAGTCTTCCAAACGGTTGCCAGATTGGGTGGGACATAAAATTGTTGATAGGTCCACCCCATCCCATATGATTAGCAGCCACCACCCAACAAATAAAAACTCCCCATCCCACACGATGGAAATTGTAAAATGTTGCTCTTGTGAATGTGCTCCAGTGAGCACCTTTGTCGTAATCGTAAGTCGCAAATAGACAAAAGCCTGCGATGATGAATGCTGTGATCCAACCAGCTACAGCCAAAACCCAGTTTAATCTGATCTTCCGGTTACCATAAGTGGCTAGTAGGTATCCTGTGAGCAATCCAATAAGATATGGGGGACATCTGATCCATGGTTTAGAATAGGCAATATCAAAGAAACTGTTTTGATCTCCATTTCCAATAATATCTGCTGGCACATCGTAAATTCCGAACAAAATATAAGTTGTGATAATGCTTCCCACACATCCAGCTACAATTAACGCAGTACCAGCGGCAAATGAAAAATATAGAGCGATCAGTAAAATCGGGGCGACAAGATATAATTGAGTGTCCACAGCCAAGTACCAAGTGATTCCATAACATGAGCTATCCTGAGTGCTATCGCTTTTGTCAAAGTTGTTGATATAGAGCAGGTTCTGCCACCAGAACTTTTGGCAACCTTGGATCTGTGGGTACATCCCGTCTGAAAAAGATACATATTTTCTGTGTAGTTTTTAAGGTTATATTCACTCAGTTCTGATGCTGAAAATGGTCCTTGAATGTAGGGGGCGTAGACTGTGAAGAATCCAATGAATAGCATGACTGGAGGAGTCAATCTCAAGTATCTATGAACGTAGAATAAAATCCATGTCACAGGATTCAAGACCAGTTTTCTGTTCGGCTTCATTTTGAAGAATAAATATGCCACCACGATTCCGGAAAGCACGAAAAACGTGTCAACCGATACAAATGCATTTAGTAGAAGATGATTCCAAAAATGTTTTGGGAAGTTGAGAAGAGGGTCCACAGTATCCGATAATATGTAATACAAGAAGGAATGACCTGTGACTACCCAACACATTGAGAGGAGACGAATACAATCCAGTGATTTAATGAATCCAGGTTTTTGTTCTTTGACTGACAGCAGAAGTTCTGCATTTGTCCACAAAGAGTAAGTCAAAAGGATTTTCAGCAGTGTATTTTTCTCTTTGATACTCGGTATTCCGTAGACAGTTTCCCTGATATAATCAACAGAGGAAGCAAGGAGAGCAATAGCAGAGACAACCATAAGAAATATCCTAAAAATATTTTTGGGTAAGTAAACAAAAAAGAACCGTCACATACGAAAATCCCCAGAAAGCTGAATCCTTCTCTACGTCATTCTTGGAACAGAATGCAGCGCATGCCGTCAATGGATACGGTGTGATTCGATTGAATATGTCAATCATTTCCTGGTGATCACACGACTTCGGAAGGCACGTGGCAATTCTGAACGGGAGGGCAGAGTATGCAGAGGTAGAGTTGGAGACAGCACATGACGCATTTTTTCCAGGTGTGATGAGCATGTAGCTGTAGTTGGTCTCGTATTTTTTCCCGCTGATTCTCTGGCATTCTTGGTACGAACCATCGTAAAGAGTTTTGACTTCAAGGAAGCCGGGACCAGAAAACTGACCAAAGGCGTCGAGTTCTATAAAAAACACATTCCGTTTTTAACTATTCCAGGAAAAAGCGTATGACTTTGAACTTACGTTGAATAGAATACAGATTATCCTCCAACAGGTTCAGCTCTTTCAATGTACACTTATTCATAGTGATGCATTCTGCTGAAATTGTCGCGACAACTGCCAAAGATTTCATCCAAGTATCGGTATCCTTTAAACATTGCCCGTGCAATCCATGAATAGGTTTAGGAGTGAACACATCCTTCCATCCACCTGATACTTTGGGAGTGATAAAGAAAAGTAATATAGCGGTCAGCAACCTGATCATAATTTTCAGATAACCAATAAAACAAATGTTCTGAAATTGATGCTCCCACCAGACTGCTTTTGTACTGCATTTCAGAAAGTGACGCGTAATGCGATAAGCATTCTATTTTGCTGATAAAAAGAAACTAGACTTATTTTCAAAGTGTGGGCGGCAACTTCAAATCACACAGTTTTGAGTTATGATTATTTTGAGAGGGCTTCCCTGGAAATTTGATGCAGAATTAATTTTTGTCCTGGTTTGCGATATGGAATCGATGATAATGATAAATTGTGTGAAGTTGCACAACATTGAGTATGCTGTAAGAGAATTAAAGTCCGATGCTATAAAAGTCAAAGCATCAGAACCCATAAAATGTGCATGAACAAAAAAACGCAGATAAAACCGAATATTCTCAATTTTTCGTTTCCGGTCAATAATTTCCAAGTACCACAACTTTTTGTACCTTCAATCATCTGTTCAATTACGAATTCACTTTTTTAAGTGATTCATTCTGACCTGAAATGACATCAAATCGACGTATTTTTAGGAGCAACAGGAACTGATAAGAAGACAGCAGATCATTTTTTTCTCAAATGACCATGATTAATTCATGATGAATTCATGAGACCCAGCTGTTAGAGAATTTTCAAATGATGTAATGGTGTTCGGAGTTGTGTGGCAAACCCGCGTACTACTATAGTTGTCCCCTTGGAACCATACCTATTGAAGAACCGATTCGGGACCAGCACTGACCGGCTAATTTAAGGGTACAAAATTAGTGATTCGGGGGTACAAAATGCCTGGGTAAATTTTTTTTTTTCGTGCCGTTGAGTTTAAAATGTTTACCTAAACGAAGCTGCGAACCTTTTAGAGACAAAATTTCGATTCAGAAGTGCAAAAAATACAACTTGCTAAAAGATTTTGTACCCCCGAATCATGGATTTTGTACCCCTAAATCAGTTGTACCCCCTTGTACCCTCGAATCGTTGTACCCCCAGAATTTTTTGCACAAAATAGCATACCAGATGATGAAGCTCGAAGAGGTCTACAATCTCCAATAAGCTTATAAAGTGGTATTATGATCCAGGCCGGCATTTTTGGCCGTGTCGATTGCCTTATTTGAATTTCGTCCCGCACCCGTTAAATGCTGGTCGATTCTTGTTGGATTTTATAGATCTCACGAAGCTCTATGGTCTGATATGCTGTTTCTCTCACAATTTCAATTGTTAAGTAAGTTATCACCCGGAACCGGCCCAAAATTTAAGTAATTTTTTGAAAAGATTCCTTAATTTTTTTCAACAGAAGTTAGAAGTACACCATGGTTTTTAAGGTTCTTAATTGATTGAAAAATTCGTGTACTTCTGATCCATTGACAACTGGCTAGTAAGCTTCTTTTCAACTCCACCTTTTCTCTTTTTTTCAATTGTTTTTTCTTAGATTTTCCCAATGACGAATCTGTTTGCAGAACGGTTTCATAGACTGCGGTCCAAATACAGCCATCGGTCAGTTTGGAACGAGGATCACTTCGTATTGTTGCTCATTATTTGACTTCCCTATCACGACAGGAGAAAAAGTGTGTTGTAGAAGCACAATACGGGAAGAAGGAGAGTAAACTGTTTGGAGTTGCTAAGAAAACAATGACATGTTTAAAAAAACAAGTGAAACTTCTGTTTCTTTGAAGACCGATCTGAGTACTGTAAAGTAGCAAATGTCAAAAGTTGAAAAAGATTCGACAGTAGATCATTCAAAACATTCCAAGCATAACTTTGAACTTTTCGAGATTTGTCAAATTTGAATAGAAATATAAAATCTAGACACGGCCCTGGTATCTGTTTAATGTAACACTTCATTCTTATCAATCCTCATTCAAAATGATCTTTTTGAATCGTTTGGTCCACATGGTCTCCACATGGTTTGTTTCTCCGAAAAATCAGAATTTGCAAAACCCTCGTGATTTGAGAATACTAGTTCTTTGGATTATTCAAGATCTTCCCAAAATCATGCCATAAAATCAGTTCACATCGATCACTGTTTGACCAAAGTATATAACAGGTGCGGAGGTGTGAGTATGAAATTGGTACGTATTACATTGATAAAATAACAAGTTTCTCTCGACATTTTTTTTCAGAAGAGAAGAACGTACAAGTAATAAATTATCAAAAGTAATTGGCCACCGACGAGGTGATACAGACAGAGAAGCAGATGATTGCGGAGGAGGGGAGGAAGAAGAGAATAGAAGACGTCGGAGGAGGTGGACGGATACAAAATGAAGGAAGTGCGAATGAAAAAAAAAACATGATAAAAACGTAGAAAAGTCCCAGATAATTTTTACTATCCCCGTCTGCCTACGTTCTTGATCTTGACTTTGAACTTCAACCTGTCGTTTTTTTTTTACTTTGTTATTTTTCATGCTCCATATTGTTTTAGTGGTCCTTCCACAACTTTTGCGCTCGCACCTCATTTTTTGCTCTATGATATAAACTTTGGTCTTTCTTCTAAAAGGGTGCATCTGTTTATTCAGCTTGTGAGACATGAAAATTTTTGTTTTCATCGATTTACCGGAAATAAATGTCATCTTTCTGAATTACAGTTTTTTTCAACTGGCCTTTTTTACAAAAGAGACATGTGCTTAATTTTTAGCATAATTTCAAAAATTTCTAGCTTAATTTTGAAAATTGAATTACTCTTAACTTTAACTCTGAACAGCTACTCTAGAGCCCAGAAAAGTACTCAAATGCAAAAACAATGTACTTCTTCTAATTAATTTTTTTCTGAAGTTTTCAGAATTCGGAATTTATAATAAACAGATAAGTTTTCTGACATGATTGCTGTGTTTTATTTGTAAAAACGTCATCATTCAAAATGAACAACGAGACAGCGTACTATCTTTGTAAAATGTATCCTTAATCAACCTATTAGATGTATCTGTAACATTTTGATCTGAATCTTGTTTCCTCTGTCTAAAAACCTCCCTTACAAATTAAGAAGCTTACAAAAAACTGACATTAGCTTCATCTACCGTACATTGGTTCGCCAAACATGTTTTATTGGAACATGAACTATGACTAGACTGAGGAAATAATAACACACTTCTTCGAATGTTTACTTTTCCACTTTCTCTTTCCGCAAAAACAAATTGTGTTTCTTGTGTCCGCGCGGAAGCTTTACCCTTTTCGTGCTCAGATAGTTCAACACCAAACCGTTATCCAAACTTTAAACCTCAACGAAGTACCTCCTTCTTTAGAAATCTTCTTGGGTCAGTTCGGCCAGTAGCAGCAGCAACAGCATCATGAAGCAGAAGGTTGTAGATGCCGAGAAATCGGTGGATCCAATTTTTCGAACTACGGGGCTCCCAATGGAGAAAGAGGAATCAGAAAGCTCGTTGGAGTCAAAAGAAGGTAAGTATTCGTTGGCTTTTTCCACAGATAATTCTCTAAATCTGTATTTCTTATAGACTGCTTCTCTCTGGCCGATGAAGATGCTGAAGAAACAAACTGGCGATTGATCTATATCACCGCCCTTGTTTCATTCCTTGGTGCAATCGAGGGAACTGCTGTGCATATGAGTGAATGGCCATACATGCGACAAATTGACCCAGATGCCACAGTTCAATTCTTCGGTATTGCCAGTTCAGCCTCAAAAGCAGCACATGCGGTTTTTGTTTTGATCTTTGCGGTATGGAGTTTCAAATATAAAACTGTGAAGTGAGTTGAGTCCAAACTTTTGGTGAAATATAATGCCAATTTCTAGATGGCCGCTCATTACTGGTCGTATTATTGCCATGGTAGCCTGTTTCCTCTATCTTGGTATCGAATACATCCCAACTGGAAGGCGTTACATGATGATGTTCTGTTATATTCTTTTCGACATTTCTGGAAGCTCCCCATCTATTCTCCGTGCATATATTGCCGCCGTTTCCATGCCAAAAGATAGATCAAAAGCATTTGCTGCAATGTCCCTCTCCATGACTCTCTCCATAATTTGTGGTCCATGTAAGTCCCCTCTGTTGTAGAGTACTTTACCAGACTTTACTATTTTACAGTGATTCAAATGGCGTTCACAACTATTCCATACCCAGGAATCACACTTATCCCACATGTAAAGTTTCATGTGTATTCTGCGCCGATTTGGATCGCAAACTCTACTAATTTTATCTCCATAGCCATTATTGTTTTTGGAATGAGAGAGTTACCAAGAAAGCCAAAAACAAAAAAACGTAGGTTTGAAATATAATTAGCTAATATTTATTTGAGTGTTTTTAGCAAAGAAGCCGTCGATCTTTGAATTGGAAGGGTTGAAGTTGAGAATTCAAAAGATCAAGAAGGCAAACATTGATTGGGTTCTAGTTTTTGTTTGTTGGATTGCAAAGTGCGGAAAGACAATGACCGCAAGATCAATTGGAACGTAAGTTTTAACTGTTAATGGGATTTCTGAGCATCTAGATGTTTTTTTAGTCTTTTGCCAATTCTTATGATGGTGCAATACGGATGGACGGGAATTGAAACTGTAAGAATCACGTCTTTCCTTATGGGAGGTTCTGGAATTCTTTCAATGTTTGTTATTGGAAGTTTCATGTTCTGCAAACTGGGAACCATGTGAGTTTCTTCCTTTAAAATCTAAAGCCTAATATTTAACAATTTTCAGTGTCCAACCCCGCTTTATTTACCTGTTTTCTATTGCACTTTTTACAATGTTGTACGTTGTTACCTATCCATACAAGTCAATTGGAGTAGAAGTTGCCTCTTTCAACTCTACGGATAACACTGGTTGTGACCCTGATAAGTATTCGTGGTGTGAGGGAGGCATTGCTCCACAGCCTTACATTTTCCTATGCTGCATGGTATTTGTGTTTGGAATGACAATGCCTTCTTCCGGTATTTCTTTGGACACTATTTACTCGAAAATTTTGGGAAAGATTGATCAGGTTAGTCTAGCTTGAATCAAATTTATTTCTATTGTCTGGTTATTCAGAGTGTCATGCAAGGAGCAGCCGTTATTCTCGATGACATCGTTATGGTTATCACTCCAACTTATGCATCGTAAGTTTCTCGAAATAATACTTCTTCTTACCAAATTTTTTTAGGTACGTCTACACACTTCTTGGTCTCAAACCACTCTGGATTATGAACGGATTCATTATGTCGACGGTTGTTATTTTATGGATCGTCATGCTTCGAAAATTCAAGCCATATTCTTAACCACCTATTTTTTTTGTTGTTCATTTATAAACGATACGGGTTCAAAACTCGCATATCATCATCCTATGGAATGGTTTTATAATACTGATTTATTTTGAAAAAATGAATTTGATTTCTGTGTTTTTACAAATCACTGAGTCCTCGGTTTTTGCCCGGTGTAGGAACAAAAATCGTGTTATGAGTGCTGACCGACTTGCAGTATAATCCAATAAATCGTTTTCGATACTCCTTTGATCGCCAGATAATTGTATAAAATGTGTGCGAAAAGGAAAACATTGATGATATAGACTGAAAAAAAAAACATAATACTTTGAACTTTTTGAACAATTGACTCACAATATTCCCAACTATACTGCTCAGATCTTCTCCAGAATAACCTAAGGTTATGAATGTATTTATAGAAACTGAGCTGAAGTAGTTTGAAAAGATGAAAATGGCTGCAGACACTTTCAAATGACGCATGATTTTGTAACTCTCCATACTGGATTTGCCTGACACAGGAAGCTCTCCATATGTTACCCGGGGATTCTGACGAAACCTATGCTAAATAGTAGTACACCGGCTATCTAGAACAACCACAAAATTATAGCTGCCGGTATGAAGGTCTGTTGAAATTGCGAAGCATTTTATGATTTTTCGCAAGTTTGGAGTCGGCACCTTTCGAACGACTATAACTTTGTTCATTTTTGTGGTGGACATCCAAACTTATTTTTATTCAACAGGTGATGAAGTAGCAAACATTAATGTCAATTGCACCCATGCTCCATCTTCAAAAGGAATTCCAGGAAAACGGAAAATATGAAAATTTCGAGTTCCACCGAAAAAAACAAGTTCAAATATAGGTCGAGCCCTTGAGTTACGAGACTTATTTCAATTTTTTTCAAAAAAAATCCAAAATTCGTGTACGCCTATACATGCAATTTTTATAAAAATTTTTAGTCTTGGAATGTTTTTCTTTTTAGTTCATAGGCGTTATTCTGCTGCTTCTTCTCTATTTTCATTTGTTAATTTCAATTTTTAAAGAAATACATTCGACCTATATTTGAACTTGTATATGTACGTTACTTGCCCTGAGGAATCAGATAGGCATGGTCCCCCGAGCACTTTTTTTCAAAAATTGGCATTTTTTGAAATCGTGTACTACTATTTAGCATAGGTTTCGTCAGAATCCCCGGGTAACATATGGAGAGCTTCCCGTGTGAAACGTGATTTTTCTGCAATTACATTAGCCTAAAAATAACTAACCCTTCTTCCAAAACACAATGATTAGAATCAGAAAGATTATGAGACTGATGCTATTTGAGGCAACAGTGACAGCTGCTAATACTCTTCTAACCGGACGTTGTAGAGCTGTAAACGCGATTTTTTCCTATTATTTCAGGATCAAAGATAGGTTACCTGTATAGGAACTACATAACCGTAAAATCTCATAATTTTCGTCTTGAAAACCCCATATTACTATAAATGTACCCCATGCTATTGGTCCCAGTGTCATTGCTGTAACATATTTCCAAGTTGGAAAATTCCTATGAATCAGAGGAAATGAAACAATGATCAGAATATCCGACAGAATAAAAACCATTATTGTAGACTGAATGCAATAGCTGAATACTACTGGAAAAATTGTATGGAAGCATGTCTCTCGAAGAATTCCAGTGTCTGTTATCATTAGGTAGACATCTAGGAAGCTACTCATAATACAAAACACATGCGCTAAGCTTTGAATACACTGAAGAAGTGCTGAAATTTTCTACATTCGAATGAACATCTGAAAGTTCTGGCTCACATGACTTTGTTCGGAAAGTTGGAGTTGAAAGAATAATATAAATTAAATGGATATTCCCAAACAATCCAAAAACAATGAAGAAGGATTTATGACAGGCGATCAAAATTTGATTCCACCTGTACATGGGTGAATCTGAAACGAAATTTCAGATTATGTGGGTTTCCAAAGAAAAATTATGTAAAATTTCTGTTTTTTGGAGAAAGTAAGAAAATTCATTTTCGATCTGTTTGAGAAATTGAAATTTGTTTTCATGGTGACATAGGCTTTCTGGGGAACAAAAAAATGAATTGAGAGCGTCTTTTGGATCAAGGAATTTTCTCAAGAACTTTTTTTAGTTCGATTTTTAAATTCTAAGAATTTATTTTTGAAAAGAATGGAGTTGAAAAATAATTAGAAAATATTTTCTCAAAAACAAGCTAATGAAAGTTATTCAATTCGATTTCTACATTCTTGTTAACTAGATGATATTACAAAGTAGATTTGAATGTCCCTCATGATCGAGAGTTCGAGCTCAAACTTTGTCTGAAAAGCTGTATGACACATCGTGAAGAAATTGAAAAATCTATTTATGACTTTGTCTGAGTGGGTTGGGACTGCGGCCGGAATAACTAAATAATTGGAAAACTTAATTAATTTTTTTTGACAGCTCTCTCAGTAAAAATTAAGGTTATTCTGAAAATGTCTTGATCTGGGAAATCAGGACTCTTTAAGAAAAAGTATAATTTTACTGTAATTTTATAACCGACATAACGGGAGAAGTTGAAATGTCTTGATGTTGTGTCTGTGTTGTTTTTTTTAAGTGTGTATTTTCTTCTCTCCAATATTCCAATTTGAAATTCAAAATCATAACAATCGCAACCAAATATCTCATTATCTAGGTTCGTTGTCCCCTTTCCCTCATGGAGGTGTGTATGCGTCTGTGTTTATATATTCAGGCGGTGGTGCCGCCCGGCACCACGGTCCGGATACGTTCTGTCCGGAGGAGAGGGGGAACACCAAAACAACGACGAGCAGGACGCGAAAGAGCAACAGGCGGTCCGATTACCGCTTCATTTACGCGACTCCCTTTCATGGAGAAGGAGCGTATTCATTGTTTACGACTTTCATAAAAGGCTATGTTTTGGAAATTTAGGTAGTTAGTAATCCCTCTTTGTTTCTCTTTAGTTAATTTAAATTCGAGTAAATTTTTTGAACCTTTTTTAAATGAAACCATTTTTACAAAACGTCCCAGATTTACGCCCCAGACAGTACTGTTCAATAAGATATACAAAAACGTATTTTAAGGTGGATTCTGACCATTTTTTGCGCTGAAAAGTGAAAACAGCCGATGTTTTCAAAAATCGACTATTAACTGAAAAACTGAGAATTTTCAAAAATTTCTGTGAATGCAAGTTTTCCAATCTAGGTCTGTTTTACATCCTCTAAAATTTTCGAAGTGGTCGGAAACTAGACCGCCAAGCTCCAGACTCCTGAAAATGGTCAAAACCAACTGAAACCCCCTGAACTGTTAAAAAACATAAACACCGAATATTTGTTCCTTACTGTACTTTAAACTAGGCGTTCTTTCAAAATATTCAAATTATCTTTGACCTATCTACGAACCCTTCGTTTTCTCCCATGATCATCTTGCCTTTTTTCTGATAAGATACACATTTTGCCATCCCATTTTTTCCTTACAACTTATCAGAAAACTTATCAACTGATATTGAAGACAGCCACGTCATATTGACCCATACCAGTTCTTGGAAGATGTTGCGTAACCATATTCAAACTCTTTTGACCTGATTCACACTGATATCCTGTTGTTTATTGCCGGTTGCGTCAGAGGTATCACAGTTGTGTGTGTGTGTGGACCTCCTTTTTTAGCTAGGTGGTAGTTCCAGACATTTATTTTTTTTTTCAAAATTAATTCCTTGCATGAAAAACAAAGATTCCGACTCTTCGTGTAAAAATTCCTTCATAATTCCTTTTTTTGAAATTTCGGTTCACATTTTCACATCCTCCAAGCCTTCTCCCATTTCAAACAGTTGGAACTGTTACTCCAGGAAAGCAATTTTCCTCCTTTTTTCAAAATTTTCGGGAGCAGTTTGTTTGCTGTTACTAGGTACTCATTAAAAAGGGATTTTGAAAGAGACAGGGACGAAAGGATCCCTCACCATCTGTCCGTGACTAATGAGAGGGTTCATGAAATTTGAACCGAATGGGGAAAAAAGTAGGAATTTGAAAATGGAGATGTGTAGTGGTACTTCGAAGTTACTTGTCAATCAAGAACGCCTTCTATCCCTCTTTTTTTACCACACAACGTGGCAGAGTCACACAGAAAGAGGTCAGATGGTCCGAGTCTCTCTTGTGAGTACTAATGAGTCTAGTGAGAGAGCGTGAGATTTAGGGAGAGGAAGAAGAAACGGGGGATGAGGTGAGCGAACTCTTATGTAACGGTCCCTCACAGACAAAAGACACCTCGAGACGAAATAATCGATTCTTGGTTTATTTGCTTGTTTCTTCATTTTGTGGTAAACCGAGGTGTGAACTTTTTTTGTCTTTTCGGTTTTTTTTGATCCAGAAGAGCATCTCCTTGATTTATTCAGAACCGTTCAATAAGATATTCAATAACGTATTTTTCAGTAGATTTTTGGCCATTTTGACCATTTTCAGGAATCTGGAGCTTGCATGTCAAGCTTGCGATTGAAATTATGGTGGATGTAAAACAGAACTAGACTGAAAAATTTGCATTCGCAGAACATTTTATAAGTTCTCAGTTTTTCAGCTATTTGCCTCCGTTGGCAAAAAAAACCTTTTCGGCAAGTTATTGCAGAACTGAGAACACATAAAAACGGTTCCGCGTCACTTCGAAACCGCGTCACTTAGAAACCAGTCGTTTCGAAACCGGTCATATCGAAATAATACAGGCGAATGGATACAAGACTAAAAAAAATTTAAGATTTTCGAACTTGCTTTTTCTGATGAAACACATTCTGAAATCCGAAAAAATCCAAAATTCAATGTTTTCAAAAAAAAATTAAATTCTCGATTTTTTTGATTTTCAGAATGTGTTGTTCTAGAAGAAAAGGGATGATTGAAAACCCTAAAATTGTTTTTGTTATTTGCATTTTATCTATTTGCCTGTATTTCAACGGTTTCGACCCGCTTCGAAATGACTGGTTTCGACGTGTCGCGGTTTTGAAGAAAAAACATATGTCCTCTAAAAATCAGTAAAAAGCTGAAACTAAGAATTTTCGAAAAATTATATGAATCCAAAGTTTTTCATCTAGGTCTGTTTTACACCCTCCAATATTTTCAAGGCCATTGGAAACTTTACAGCCGAGCTCCAGGCTTCGGAAAATGATTTAAATTGCCGAAAATCAACTGAAAAACACATTTTTGTAATTGAACGGCACTGTAATTGTCTCAGTTTCTCGAAATTCGTGAAGTTAGGATATCCTACCAAAATGTTCTCTCTTGATTTTGTTCTTCCGCAATCTTTTTTTTTCAAAAATATTCCATCACTGTCGCCAACTTCCCACCCAAACACCATTGGCTCCTTTGTCATTTCTAGACACCTTATAAAAGATACTGCTTTCTTATCAAAACGCTAATTTGAATTTTACTCTCGGTCTCTCTCTCTCTCACTCTATTGTTTCGTTTTGAAAGGCGTATCTTTTTTCCCTTTCCTTGGCATTTCTTTTGCGTGTGAACCCAGATATTTTGAAGGTTGGGATATATTTTGTTTTGCTTTTTTTTTCTCTTTTTTCTGCAGTTTTTTGTGTCTGGGAATGCTAGTTGTGATTTGAATTTTCTTCAGTGGTAGACACATTTTTGTGGAAGCTTTGCCATATTAAGGCTACCTGAATTTATCCGTCTTGCAACTCATTTGAAACGTTCCTATTCCCTCGGTCTCTTTTCTTAACTGCCCATCATGCATATCAAAAGTCATTATCATTTATCACACCAGAAACGGAACAACGGTGTCAAAAGACGAACATACACGGGTGGAAACATAGAGAGAGGGTGTGAGAATGTTGGTTCAAAACCTCGGTGCCAGCCAGCACCCGTGTTTGCAGACTGGCTTTTGAGTTGTATAACTTGTGCAGAGTTGCTCTTTTATCATTTAATGTTGTTCCTATGAAGAACATATTGGTTCAAATTTTCTTTTGGAGAACCAATATTGAACCACTCTAGGACTCAATAATTTTTGAACTCATTCTTTCTATCAGCATTGCAAAATTATAATAATAATAATAATTTATTACGATGTGAAATCGTGAGAAACGTAATTACATAAAAATTATTGTGCAAAACAAAGATTGAGCATCATAATAAAAGAAAAAAAAATTACACGTTCAAGAGCTAGTGGAATGAGGTGACTGAAAACATAGAGAAACAAGTAGTCGGAAAGCAAAAAGTGGGACAAAAAATAAATAAGACATGGAGAGACATAATTAAGACATAAATAAGAAATGGGTTGACATTAAGACCGATATTAAATAAAATGAGACATAGTTATGGGTATGAAACCTGAAAAAGACCTTCAATATCATTTGGGCTTCATTATTGCGCTAAGAGTACGATTCGTGAAGAAGCTCCCCTTAATTTGGGTTTTATGTTTTGCCCAAATGAACCTCGTTTTAGTACGCGTTTTGTTATTTAAGTCTATCTTGAAGAACTTATTTGTTTCAAAAATAAAAAATAATAAAAATAATAAAATAATAAATAAAATAAAATAAAATAAAATAAAAATAATAATAATAAATAATAATTTAAATAATAAAATAATAAATAAAATAAAATAAAATAAAAATAATAATAATAAATAATAATTTAAATAATAAAATAATAAATGTTATAAAATAATTCTAAAACCTACAGTTTAACTTTTTGGATTCTCTGGGTTTAAAAATGTCAATTTCGAACTTTCCGAGTATTATACACCCATTATGAGTAGTGTCATTTTTTGCCAGTATATCCCTTGTCTGAAATCAATGAGCGGATATCTCGTTAAATTTTTCTTAATGGGGTTGTTCATGTCAGGCGAAATTCCCGGCAAAAAAACCTTTAAAAATAGCAAAAAAATTACAAAAAAACTCGGAAAAAATCTGAACTTCCAGCTAAATTTTCAAAGGGGAT